AAGACGTGTCCTTGAGTTCCATAGATGGTGTTTTGTAGATATGATCTCTCAAGATCTGCATTTGACATGAGAAGAAGATAAAAGGGGGGTAATATTCATTTCAAGGTACACACTGCTTCCAGGGGGAGAGAGATCCCACGGATACCTAGCATGTCGACATATCTTTCAGGGGAGATGGTGATGTGTGGAGGTGAGCTGGCTCGGAGGTAGGAGGAGAGCGGGGCGGAGTGTGACAGGAGGGGGAAATGGCGGAAGATACATTCCGGATGCAAGGGTGGTAGGTACCCGGACAAATTTCACGTGATTCGATGAGAATATGGTTATCTGTGAATAGATAGATTTTCGTTGTTCCCGACAACACAAATCACCGTAATCGCTTCAGAGTTCGCAACACTTGAGAGATGGGTTTGAAAAGGGAAGCAGATGTGCATTGTGATTAGTCGACTCCTACATTAGAGTATTGATTGATTGGCATCTGTCGTTTTTTACTCTGGAGTGAAGGACTGAGGGCCACAATCAAGCGATAAAGGTTGCTTGATAATGCGAGAGTTGAACAGACCGTATCATTCACATCTCAGCTGTGATTGCTCTCAAAGGACTTATGATGGAATATTCCATTGCAGAAATCTGATTCAGGCTTCAAGGTCTGAGCCTTACAGTGATAGTGGCGGCGGTATTGGGATGAACTTTGGCCGGTCCCTCCTCTCTAAGCCTCTCTCCATCTCGGTTTGCTGGCGCCCCCCGGCTTCGAATTTTCGTTTCATCAACACGGAATTCGGCAATTCACAGTATGGCCCAGAAAACTGGTTGGTGTCCTCAGGATATACCACACAGCATTGTTGCTGACTCTCTGAGGCACTGAAGTCTTCGTTGTGTTTGGCAGAAGATGATTGGGAAATCGGTGATTTAACGAGAGGAACCATTTCAGAATGGACGGTCCCGTGGAACATGGGTTTACATGTTGGAGTTTCTGGCTTGGGGGGGAGCGGAGAGACAAAATCGCGCGGTGGGGATGATGTTAGTTTGTGGACATATGTGTGGGCGCCGGTAGCAGCGGAATAGGTCTCAACAAGATCTAGGGGGGAAGTGGATATCGCGGTAGGGCTTGAAGGCCTAATATCGGCCTTTCTTGGTGATTTTGAGCTAGTCGGTATGGAGAGACTAGCTGGGTGGAATTCTACACCGGCTGGAGGTGCCATGGAAGTTCTGTAAGGGCAACCATTCTCGAACTGAGACGTACTGTTTAGTTTGGGGCAGGTTGTTCCCTTCTTGATAGGAACAGGATCCCTCTCTGACGATTTTCGCATGGCCCGAACAGGGTTCGGATTTTCATCACCCCTTTGTCCGTGCTCGTTCGATTCTTCGGTTTCCATCTCACCACTATGACTCTCATCACTGCAACTATTATCGCCATCCTCATCCTCATCAATTTCAAGATCCGAAACCCGGTTCTCTAAAGCCATAGTTGAATCATCAACTATGGTAATCCTCTCCTCCAACCTCGACACATGATCCAACAAGCTGTCAGTTTTATCATCAACAGCGGCAAACTTGCGTGGCACCTCCCCCTCCATAAACTTATAAAACGAATGCATAGCCTCCCTTAGAACCCTAGTATCCTCGCGGCGTGCGCGTCTTTCCTCTTTCAATTCCTCTTCCCAAAGCCTACGATCATGTCTGTGCTGCTCCTCTAGCCGACAGATCCGCTCTAGCAGAGCCATCTTCGTCGGTAGCACTGGTGGTGAGACGGGCTGCTGAACCAGAAAACTGCTCACCCTGTTCCCTGGTGCATGGTAACATGCTTGATGGCCGCATTCGCAAGTAGAGCCTAGGGAGGACATATTCCGCCGAAATCCTTGACACGAGCAGCGCTGGTCAGGAACAGATGGATGGAGTAATATAGAGCGACATTCACCTGTCGGAAGAGCCAACTCGGCTGGAAGCGGCAGGGTGAAGTTGCTTGCGTGGGCCCGCGAGCGAGAAGTTGGATTCGAACAAGCAGATGAAGAATTAGGACTGAACATCAGAGTCGGAATATGTCCATGTCGTACACGTCAAATGCACGCCCTAGGTGATGGTATAGGCATTGATTGGAGCTTTGCCGGATTTGACAGTTCTAAACAAGAAAAGAAAAGAAAAACGACAATCTGCCGGTGAGATCAGAGAAAATGAGGCAGCAGAAGCACAACAAGAGCGAATTGGAGCAAACCTAATAACAATCAGGTCGTTATAAGAGGTGGTTATCATGTGTGATGTATGGCAAGAAGAGCGAACCATTCTTGATATGTGCAATCAAATACCGGTAAAGATAAGAAATCGATTGCAAACGATAGCTATACGTGGATTGTTTTTTATTCCAAAAAAAAAAAAAAAAAAAAAAAAAAAAAAAAAAAGTGAGAACCGGCGGAAAACGACAAGAGGATCCAAGAAAGACAAAAATGAGGTCAAGATGTAGATCAGTCAGTTCCCCTATTTTGGCTGTGTTACTTTATCTCATCGTTTTCGTTATGCACATTTGATTATTTATTGCCATCCTTTCCAAGTCTCGTCTGCTTCCCACAGACAGTCTGATATGAGCTGACTGGGGGATGGTTTGATTTCATACCTAAGTAAGGTTTGTGATCGAGTTGGGGGTCACCCTGGGTGGGATATTGTGGATCAGGGCCAATCGGCTAGTCCCCAGAGTTACCATGCCTCATTGTCTCCAACGTCCTGGTAATCTACGTATGGTATGATCGACAAAATTCGTAATATATTGATATGTTGTCCAAGCCGGTGGAGGCAAATTAGAGAGAGGGAGACAGAACTCCAATACTATTTAATAACGGAATGCTTCTCAGGATGATACACCTTGACGTGGAGAGTCATCGTCATGGCAATTCCAGTAGATACATAACGACCAAGGGAATATTGGCCAGGGTCTGGCCTTCTTGATCACGCAAAGGTGTGTGTGAAAAGAGAACCTTGATAGTTAGCCTTCCAACGTTCCACACAAGAGGAAGCCATCTGCGGAGAAGTGAAGAATATTTCCAGAATGGCGGGACAGCGAATCATGCCGACTATTGCCAAACTAGTTCTCCAGAGGCTGTGAAACCATCCTTGACGAAAGGCTGGCCGACCAGCCAGTTACCAAAGTCTTTATCAAAATTTCACTGGTTTTAGGGAGCAAGAAGGGGGAATAACCATCAAGTCAACTTTGGAAGTCGGCAAGCGTCACAAGAGCAATAATAATCTCAATTTCCCTCACTTTTTACTACAATCCCTGTCCTGCATGGCGAGCACCCGTTTCTCGATGCGGCCATGCCTCCTCCAAATGACAGCGGTATTTGCAGGACACAAGCAGATTATCAGCCTTTATCTTGGAGTCCTACCTGGCAGATCGGAATGACCTGTTTACCAAAGCATCAGTGTACTACCAGGTAGTTATCTACCCGCGGATCGTGCACGCGCCAAACACTCTCATCAGCTCAACAAAGCATAACCATCAATTCCATGAACCAGAATCCAATACGCCAGTAGGAAGCTGACTGGAATTATTACGATCGATCAGTGATATTGTAACAATTGGTTTACAGAAACCTTGCTGCCAGGTGGTTACATGGCCTCTTTTCTGCTTTTCTTAAGCATAAGCTCAAAACAGCCTCCTGCCTGACGACTAGCAAGGGGATTTCAAACAACCTACCAATGGGCAGGCTGCATCTGCGCAAATGTCATCAGAATTGGCTTGGAGAGCGCAACTTTTATGCGACCTCCTGGTTATAAACATCCAAACCCAATCCATGTCGACATGCATGCTGGTCATTTTGTTTCCCGGCAAGAAAAAGAAACAGAATTGAACCCAGGAAATGAAAAAACAAATAACCAGGAGGGTAAACCCTTTAATCCTATGATGGTTTATGCGCTGTATGAGAAATAAGATTCACGAACAGGTCCCCGGAAGGGACGTCTTTCGAATTTAAGCCGTATGATGATTGACGAGCCAAATACACGGAGCACCTAGGTACAGACCTTTCTTCTGATAGCCCGAGCGGATTTCATTTTGCAGAGGCAAGTATGGACTTGCACGTTTGTTTCCGCCCCACGTAACAAGAAATTTTGCTTTTTTCTTTCCTCATTTTTGCTTCGCGTTGCAGTGGCACGACAGAAGGCTACAACGGATTCAAAGGCGATGATGATAGTGGTGCAGATAACCGGGTAGATGGAAGAAGCACTAGACAAGCGCTCTCATTGAATTAGAAGTGCATGAAAACAGCAGGACACAGTCTGAAAACACATTTGTCACCCTCACAGCTCTCTCACACACAAACCAACGGACGCGAACATCGTGGCTTAGTTCCTGGGCAGAAGGTAAGTTATCTCACCCAACGTCCCATTTTCTCTACGGAACCTCTCCGTTGAAACATTCCACAGCTTTCTGGTCTTAGAATTGACGCCATTCCCATGCTGAAAATCCCCAGCCTTCCATAGGTCAGTTGGATTGGACCTGGAAGTGCCGGACCAGAAGAAGCAAAAAGAGAACATCCATGGACAACATCCCTTTTCCTAATGCAGTTAAAGTGGGATGTCTTGCCTCTGATCCGCCTTCAAAGGGCCAAACACGAGATGCCATTATTGTGTGACACTAACAATCCCCCCATTTGGATTGGTTTTTTTGTTATTATTTAATATTAGAGGGAACATGTCAGAGTAACAACACCCCCACTAATAGCAGAGATCCACAGCCGTATCAGCTGTATCGCTGCATGCCCCTCTCCGCGATTGGCCGAGAATCATTCCGAGCAGACACGCTGCCTCCTCGCTACGGTAGTTACGGTACAGTACGATACCGGTTGAATATCATTTTTCAAGATCAAGTCTGCTTGCCTTATCCTCCGCCAAGCGCAGCCTTATTATTTTTTGGATCCGTATATCTCACAGTGTCGTTTTGCCAGGTAAGAGAATCTGCACCATATATGGTTGAAGCATAAAATTCAGCTTCCTTTGGAGATGAGATGGATTACTCATCTAGTCTCTGATTACTTTCTTATTCCGCAAATGCGCAGTTGACAACAGGTTAGTTGAGTTAGTTAACTACACTTCCACTTAGTTACCCCAAAATCGCCCAGCCCTCTCACCATCATTTCTCTGTGTATCAACAAGTGCATCAATATTGATGGGACCGGGCCAGAAACAGCTGACAAATTCATCCCTATCTAGGTTTTACTTGTTGCTTGAGGGCATATATGTTTTGACACCTCCTCTCCTAGCAGATAACACAAGAGAGTGAGTCATGACCAGTCTTGTCATCATTCTTCATATCTCTTCACCGCCCGCTTCTTAGCGCCACTCACGATATTGCTCGGCAATTAACCATCCAGCAAACTTCCAAATATATATATATAATTTTATTATTTTATTGTTTTTTATTTTTATTTTTGGAAACAACGTGGGTTCTCTGTCGCGGGCTAGAGGCTATATATAGTGCTCGGTCCGTCCCTCCCTTGCCGTCCACATTAGTGGCATCAATAATGGAAATGAGCAAATTATTATCATAACCGTTGGATAGTTCTCTGTTTCATGTTTGGCTGAGAAGCTAGACGGATGCAAAAATTTTTACTCCCCACATGCGCTTAGAGTATCAAATCTTTTGGCTGGAGATGACGTGATTCCGGAAATATTTTCAATATTCATGCTTATTTCATCCTTGGTTTGAGACCATTTCTAGGTATCTGGAAAAGCTAGACAGACATAATCGACTTTCCAGGGGCCCTGTGGTGCTCACAATCAACATTTTGGAAAATTTCCCAGGAAATGAGATAACCCAACCTCTGCCATATAAGCACCAACACACTTCCAGATTCAGCTTCCCCGCTCTCCCACATCGCACCTCTGGAGCTCGAGATAATTTTCGGACTACTTGGATGATAAAGTCGGAGTTAATTAAGGTCGCGCCACATCGAATTGGAAGTGGTAACATGTACAAGGCTGTGACAACATCTGGCCGTGACTGGAGCAGTAGGCGGCATGCTAACATGGATTTTGTTACAAGAAGGGAAAAAAAAAATCATGTTTAATGCTAATGCAAAAGCGAAACAGTCTGGGCGTAAATGTCTGGCAAAAAGCTATTAATAGTATAGTTGAAAAGCCAGACCAAGCTCACCAAACTCGAGCCAAATGACAATTTCCGGATCATCATACGGACTAAACAATGATGTCATCACATACTACCACGACCAAAACTTTTGAAAAAGAAAAGCAAAGAGCAGCTTCAGTTGAATCTTTCAAACTTTTGTGAAACTACTAAATAAAGCTATTTCTACTCCCTGCAAAGGCCAATCGTTCACATCTGCTGCTAAGCCTGGCACAAGAAGGTGAGGTTCTTGTTCGCCGCTGGTTTCGGGGTACGAAAAGCTGTGGTCCCAATTTGCTGTTCCAGACTGCTGAAAGGGATCTGGTGGCCCAAAGGACGACGGAACACTTTGCCAATCAGTATTGGCAGGCTGGGCGGTGCTAATTTGATAGCCAGCTAAGCGGGATATGGATGTCAAATCATTCTGATGGCCTCTATGATGCTCACGCATCAGTGGTAGGACTGGTTCACAAAAAACATGACCAGTATCAGTTGTTTGCGGCATGGACACGTTTCGAAATCACCCTTCGGGGAGAGATTTTGTCTGTTCGATCATAGAAATGGTGGGGCTGTGTTCGAACTTGATGGTTCCGAAGTACGGTATATTGACATGCAGTTCATTGAGATTGTCATCCTTAGCTCCAAAACTCTGAGGCTCCTTATAAAGCTCCAGGGAGGCAGTTGTACGGTAGCAGGCTCCACTGGCAGAATTATTCTCGATAGCGAGGAGGGACTGGAGGATAGTGGATACCTTTTGAGCGACGACATCGTGATTCATTTGAGCCATTTTTTCCATGATTTCAAGTGTGCGTTCGAGAAGTCCGCGGTCGCTCAGTCGCTGATGTTGGAGAGATTGGAAAACGGTGACATCTTTGCCGTAGCCGAATTGGTGCTGCCTATGAGCTTCCATATGCGCAATGCACAGCGTCGTGCTAGCAATAAAAGCAACAAAGTCGAGACCGCGACAATAAGCCGTCGATAAATTCGCTCCTCGGAATGCCACGAACTGGGCGACTATCGCACGACGGCATTCGCAGCAGTCATCCTGCTGTAATCATAACGCTGTTCGGTGGAAGAGGACAACAACATGTATGGCAAGTGTAGCCGTACGAAGAGATGACGATATGTTAAATGGCTTGTAAGGCGGATTGACTCTTCGAATGCCTGGGCATCATCGCTTACAGGACCATTGGAAGTCATCGGCCACCACCGTGGTGGCATTAGGGCGGCAGCCTCCTGAAGCATTTTGTCCACTCTGTGTATTGTCGCAAGATCAATTTGCTCGCCAACATTACGCTGTAGGATAATCCCAGCTGCAACGGACTCTAAGCGCTCCAGGCACTCCACAGCCATGCAATTTTGTAGGACCTTCTGACTCGCGAAGACATTTTCGGATGAACCCTGTGGCAGGCCCAGCATCAACGACAGATACCTGTCTGTGGAGACTATGCGAAACCACATGTAGTCAGGATCGATACGATCCTGAGTTTCCGGCTCGAGAATTATGCTCGACAAGGTATTCCCTGTATCTAACCCCATCATCTGCGCAACAACCACGGCTCTGCGGTTTGTCAGCCATGCATGGCGAAGATTGCCAGCATTATTTTAGTACATGCTTGCAATCATAACACACTCGATACCGTCGAGTGAAGTGACAAGTTCATCATCATTTGTTACAAGCCTAGAAGCGGTTCGGACCACACGATTCATGATATCCTGGTGGTCCGATGTTAGGCCAGCGAGTTTCCCCGCCGAGGACGGCGGAATGCCCTGTAAAAAAGAGCCAAGAATTAGAAGCCTCCTTGCTACGAGGACCGGATGGGATCCAAGCAGAGGCATCCGCAATACGGCTTGCGGAGATAAGCGTTGTCGGGAAAGGAATCTAGAGTACGGCATGCATACTATGCCGTGGAATAATACCGAAACATCGATCAAAAACGCTTAGTATTAGATTGAGATCATGCTGATTGGGCCAAACTGCTAGAAGCGAGACAGACAGCTCGTCATGACTGTCAGCCAAAGGGCTCTCAGTACCCCGGGGAGGGACTGTGATCGGAGTGGGGCAGGGAGAATCGGATTCGGTTCCACATCCATCAGGCCTAGAATTTTTCATCTTCCCATGTTGGACGAGCAGCTACTTAACTATACTATCTGCACACTTGCAAAGAGGTTTCTTACTGATGAATTTACCAACTCGTGCAGATTCGATTGATCCGGGACGCAGCGTGTCTGGCACTTCAGTCCCGCCACGCTTGATGAATCGATCTACGAGAGATTCCATCCGGTTGAGCCTATCAACATTTTTACTCTCAAGCGCCGCCTCATAATGGACCTCCTGGCTAATACATAGGGTTCGACGACTCCTGCACCCGTCACAGACAGTTCCTGTAGGCGCTGCAAAGGTGCATCGGATCTTCCGTCGCTTGCACTCCCAGCAACTCTGAGTGCCTTCACGGACTCTTCTCGCCTGTTGAGCAGCGTGGAGGTTGGTCCCGCCGCGGAGGAAAGACCACGTGGGATTATTACTGACATTTTGTTGTCTTGCGGGAGTTTTGCCAGCACAGATGCCCTGCTAAAGCAAGTTTGTTGGTTAAAATCCGAACGAAAAGTTGCTCCGTGGATCTCGACGCACCGACCCACCACTAGGTATTTATCTATTCCTCCGTTAGTTACATAATCTAGCGTTTCCTTCCGCCGCGGCGGAGAAAGGCGTGCGGCCTTTGTCAGTCGCGGAGTTAACAGGCTTGGGGGAGTAGGAGTGGCTCTAACCTTGCCAGGATAGCTAACTACGAGTTAAGAATCCTGTCTCACGGCTTTCCAGGGTGGACCAACTGCAGAGTGGGGAGTATAACCTGTGCAGGTTAACCGAAGGAAGTTCTTGGAGAATGCCACAAACGAACGCAGTCAATTAGTTAATCCATGGATACGTTGGTCATTGTTCCAATCCACTGGGATGTTGAAACCATACGGCCCATCATGGACCAAGAACTGCTCCGCGGTCGAGGATAAGTGGATAGCGAGCTTGATGTCCCGGATTCGATATTTTCACTTGGGAAAAGACCTCCCACTGGAACTCATGAGTTAGAGACGAATATATTTAATACGGAAGTTGGTTTTGTATTGTGTCATGGATAAATTATCTCAAAAACTACGCTTCCGAACATCGTATCAATTTGTTGAACCCAGGTATTACAGCTTTACAATGGTTAAAATCGCTGTAGCTGGCAGTTCTGGGCGTGGGATTAATCCCACTTATGTTATGCAATCGCCTATCAAGACTAATTTACTTTGCAGAGATTTCCCGAGAGATTGTTGATATTCTCATAGCGTCCAAAAAGCATGATATAACCATATTAAGCAGGAAGGTGAGGGAAACATTTGGAACTTTTACATCCATGTGCAATTTCAACACTAATATCTCCCTTAGGAGCCTTCGACGACAGCCATCACACCCAGGATTAGTTAGTTGGCAAACGGTAGACTACGATGATAAGGCTGCATTGGTTGAGGCCCTTTGCGGGATCCACACCCTCTTGTCCTTCGTCCAGATTCTCTCGGATCCCGACCAGAGGTCTCAGAGGAACCTCATCGATGCGGCTATTAGCGCTGGTGTAAAACGCTTTGTACCGAGCGAGTATGGGAGGTGATCTTACCCGCAATCAATGCAACACATTAGCTCCATAGCTTACCCAATTGACTAGTGAGGGGACGGTTGACATGGCCTGGTGGCAGGGAAAAGAAAGAATCAGGCAGTACCTAAAAGAAGTAAATGCAAAAGGAAACGTGAGAATCTGCATCAAAATCACTATGATCTTTCAATACTTCCAGCCAACAGCAACTGAATTTTTGATTAGAAACTCGAGTACATCTTACTTCAACCTGGTTTGTTCTTTGACTACCTAGCCTTCCCTCACAAGACGGCTAAGTATGTCGACCCGCTGCAGAGCGTCTTCGACTTTGAGAACAGGCGTGCCATCGTTGTGGAAGGCTACGAAGCCGCTGTTATGATGACTCTAACCACTGTCGCGGACCTTGCCGCAATCGTTGCTCGATCAGTTGATTACGATGGCAAGTGGCCTACAGCTGGCGGTATTAGAGGCAACAGAGTCACGTTCTCGCAACTCATTGAGATCGGCAGGAAAGTTTGAGGTTAGAATAGCCTTGTTGCCGAGCGTCGCATATTTTCGAATTTTGTTAATATGAATCTCTTAGGGCGACCTTTCACTGTCGACAAAGTAAAAGTCGAAGATCTCGAAGCCGAAGACCTAAAGATATCGTGGGGCTTGAACGCAGTTCACCACGCAGTCTCTTAAGGATCAGGCGAGGGTACTTCTCAAAGCCGTTTCCATTGGATTCCTTCCTTCTAAGCAGTACAAAAGGCGCATGGGACTCATCAGATGAGCTAAATCAACTCTTCCCGGGTCACGAATTTACTGCAGTGGAAGACTTCCTGTCAAATGTTTGGCATGAAAAGCCCGGGGGTTTTGGGTTACCATTTTTTTGAGGGTAGATGATCCATTGGTCTATGGCCCAAAACCCGCATTCATGGGCGGTGATGATTTTATTTTCCAATCATAATTATTTCATGCCAGCGGCTTTAAAATACCTTTTTTAGGATTCTTGAATGAAAAATCATCATATTCCTATCCAACCAGGTCATGTTGTCGGGAACTTTACCAGCACAATATTTATCAGTCCCACTCCCAGGTTCCATGAAGAAACAAATTTCTCCCAAACTGATATCAGTGAATTCTAAGGTACTAAAGTCAATGGGCACCATGGATTTTTGACATAATGTGTGGGGCGTAACTAACTATCTTCCTTGTCCGCCCAGAAATTTCCTCTACTAGCCCCGAAACCCGAGTACCATTACGGTGATGGATGGACCCATAGAATAAGCTTAAAAAGGGACCTGATACAGGGTTGGGGAAGTCTGCCTGTTAATCCGGTATCTCCGTTTTCCTTTCATTCCCGCTGTCAGTGCACCGGGGTTTGCAGGGTTCCGATTAAAGTTAAAAATTCTAGATAGATATTGAACGAACAGCTTATATGCGAAGCCGATTATGGTACCGTATCACCTCCAAGGTTCCAAACGATCGATGTTTGCTAGCCTAATGAAATTTTCGCCCCTGTTATTTTGATCTGTATAGATTGCTTCCAAGGTTGGGATTGATTGATATGGGAACCTGGAGGAATATTGTTTTTACAGGAGAACATATGCTAGCCCAAATCCAGGGCTGAATTCATATAACTAGCTATTGGAAGGGGATCACTGATAAGCAGTAGTAACTGGAATCCCTAACTATGCCCTTCAATTCAAATTTCCTCCATCCAACACAGCTAAACTATTCGACCAAGCATAAATATTAGCGGAAGATAAGTCTCTCTCCAAGTAAATCGTCAAAAGAGAATCTCTTATGTCCTTAACATCTTTGCACTGACATGATGCTTTGTTAAAAAAAATAAAAATAAAAATAAAAATAAAAAAAAACAATGTCGAATGCTGCCTTATGCCATCATTAATGGTTAGAAAAGAGAAAATAATGATCAACTGACAACGCAGAGAGAGACATATATCCAATCCAATACATAGCAATAACCAGATATGTGTTGTTCCGGGCGTAGATCGAAAAGAACGGGAAATACGTTTCCAACCAACTCCAATCTTCAATCCTCCACGTTCATTTGCCAATCACTTCCTCCCTTCCACCATAATGATATGGTATCCAAATCCCGTTTTCACCTCCGTCCATTTTGGATTCCCGGTCGTACTGGGCTCGAGGTCGTATGCTGCTTTTTCAAATGAGGCATCAAGGCTACCTCGTATTTTCCAGCCAAGCGATCCCCCTATATTTTTGGATTATGTCAGGAAAGGGGTAGTTTATAAAAGATATAGTACTCTTTGCTTCTCTACTTGGGTGAAAAGAACATGTAATATACGAAACAAGGCAGTGAGTTCCATTTGAATTCCTCCCTTTGGCCCTTATTCAATTCCAACCCCCTTTTGAGGATAAAAGAGTGGAGTTGAGAAGCCCTTGGGTGGAAGGATGTGAGCGTGTGCGAAACCTAGGGATATAATGGTCCCAGTTGATAACTTTCTCACATTTGAGCTCAGGTTGTTTGGTATCAATCGTATATTAAGGGTAAGGGACGTAGTACGAATGCCAGTGTCATCAAACATATAGCGAAATAAATTCAACAAACCTTGCCTAGCTTTATCTTCAGAAAATTCCCTTGCAACCTCATCAAACTTTGCCCCATTTCTCAGCTTCTCTAGCGCTTCCTCTTTCTTCGAGTGTTTTTCACACTTTTTCCCCCAGCAATGGCCAGTTAGTTCAGGTTCGTACAATATGAAAAGGAATAATATTCTTGCGCATATCATCCATGGAAACACACATGCGTAGAATGGCAATCATGTAAAGACGATAGAGAGCTACTTCCAATCCAATATCAAGTGAAGAAGCAAACACAAACGGGTATTCTTAAATCACAGTCAAGCAAGAGATATTGAAGCCGAGCAAGAAGAGCAAACACGAAGAGTATCAGACACTTACGAGAATATGTCGAACATTGATCGAATTTGCAGGTTTTACGCCTCCTTTCCCTTTTGCACCCTCATTACCATCTGAACTGTCTTTCGCCTTGCCTTTACCTTTTCCTTTGGCGCTGTTCTTTCCCATGGCAATTGAGTTGAGTGCAAAAAGGTTGTTTATCCCAAAGTTACCTGGAGTGTCTGAGAGTCTCGAATTAGGGAAAGAGGGGGAAATACCGGCGTAGTCGTGAAGAGACCAGAAAAATAACGTTGAGGTTAGGTTTGGTTTATGATGAGTTGGAGCAAGTTGGAAAATATGATGTTCCAAAGAGTTGTAGGGTTTGAGAAGCACCCATGCATTATTTATTTATATCCAAGGTTCAATATTTATCAGCTTGAAGCTCAATGTCGCTCATTCATTAATTTTTTTTTTATCAGCACCAAGCTCAAATTTTCAATTTGCTCCGAGATGCAAACTGGAGTCCTTCACTAGCAGCAGTAAATCAAGCCTTTTGAATTCTTGAAACTACTGTTGTTTTTCTGTGGCTTGCTCCAAATCCCAATTTCAAATTTCTGTCTCCCAGGTGGATCGACGGCAAGACGACTCCTTGCTCCTAGTTAAGGTTATGGACATCGCATAGAGATGGAACACGATGAACACGTTGGAACTGTTGAGGAGACAAAGGAGGAGGTCAGACCTCCCCTTCAGCTCAAAGATGCGCGAATCATGTCAATTCCTGAAAGTGCCTATTATATTCCCGGGTTTATAACGCAGGATGAAGAGGATAGGTTGCTTCAGAAGGTAAAATTCTCATATTTGTTTACCTGTAGTTTAAGTTGGAATTTAATAGTTAGAATGAGGTGAACAGAGATGCTTCAACCGAAGGAGGAAGTTCTGGGATCAATAAGAGGGTTAACGGATCGCCCCATTAAGAGAATATATACCCTGGTTGTTTTCCTCTGATTCCCTTCATCAAGGGAGACATATGGATCATAAAAAGAAACTACAGGCTAACAACTATTAAGATACTATCTGTTCCCGTTCCACGCTGGACACAGCTTTCCCGGAGACGCCTTCAGACCTGGCCATCCGCATTGACCAAATCCAACACTCTTCTCGCCTCCCCCCTCCCAACTTGGCTGGTTTCTCCCATCATTTCCCGAATTACGGCTCTTGGGATATTTCGGGATTCACCGCACCACGCACCTAACCATGTACTGATTAATGAGTATAAATCGGGACAAGGAATCATGCCTCATGAGGACGGTGCTGCATATTACCCCGTTGTCGCGACGGTGAGTTTGGGGGCACCGATTGTACTGGAGATGAGTGAGAAAATCGCAGATCGCGCAAACACAGGCCAAGCGGGAGAAGGAATTGGAGCAGAAGCCCAAGAAACAACGCCATACCGGTTTAGAATATTGCAAGAAAGAAGAAGTTTGTTGATAACGACTGGGAAACTATACACTGATTTCTTGCATGGGATTGAGGAGCGAAAAGGGGATGCTGATTTGAGCTCGGAAGCTGTTTGTAACTGGGAATTACTTGGGGATAAAGATGCGTTTGCAGCAGGCAGTTACGAGAGGGAGACTAGAATAAGCCTAACATATCGGGATGTGCTCAAGGTCTCGAAGCTGGGGAATACTATGAAATTCCTTGGGCCTAGATGATAGGCAGCAACGACGAGCTTCGGTTCTAATAATTAAATTTGACGCAGAGGCTGGTTGCTGATCATGGTTACTATCCAATGAGTTACTTTTATTGGCGTTTGCAAGCAGCAAGGAAAGACTCTAGAAAATCTCATGATACTGCAGCCGACATGACCAGAAGAAGGTTTGAGGCTTCCACAATAGAAATTCTAATATAGACGTGGTATCATTCTCCACCGATGCTGCACGCTTTCTTGACCAAACTTTCTCATATACCACTCCTTGGTATTGGCAGCAGAGACACCTAAATTCACAAGAACGAAAACCAGTCCCGACAATACCGTCTTGTTGACAAGAGATCCTTTTGGCGCAGCCAAAAAAACGAGCGATAGATAGATGGCGCACTCGGCTGTATAATGCGGAGATACGACGGCGAGGAAAGCTGGGTGAGACGGAAGAGTGTACTTCTTCAACGAAGCTAGGTACATATGGCAATCATGCTGGATACCGGATGCAATAGTAAAAACTGGAAGGAAAGCGAGTGTCTTTAATGATGGTGCACAATATCGCACTTCATTTAGTAAGTTGCCAGAAGAATGGATCGCAGCTAGATATGCCAGTTTTCAGTGGACGATTTTGGAGGGCGAAACAAGGTTAGGGTAAATTGCACATACGTATTCCTTCAACCCAAATAGCCAACCCCATTGCGACATAAAATGACAGCCCAACAACCCAATGTGGGAACCACATTTTCGATCGGGACAGTTTTGCCGTTGAAATGCATTCGCACAGTCGACGGACACCTTGGATCAAAAGTAGCGTCCAGCACAGAACTACTTGGTTGCGTGTCATGGACTTTTGAATGTTTTGTTCTCTAACCCGTGAAGATACAGCTCGAAACAGCGGGCCTCTGAAGTAGATTTGAGCTCCCCATAGAACCGACGATAATACCGATGCTACGTAAAAGTGAGTGAAAAAGCTATGTGGTACTTGCCACGATGCTATATAGTCAAGACAAGACACTCCCCATCCACGGGTGGGCTGTTTCGACAGCTTGGAGTCATTTTGAGCTCCTTTGGTGGAAGCTTTGATCGGTTCTGGCGTTGTGGCCCGTGGGCCATATGTCACGAAACGATTGCGAACAAAAGGGACGCTGTTCGCAAGCAGAATCTACACATTGATCAATCATTCATTCAATAGACGTTGTTATGGATACATGGAATGGATGGATTCTTACAGTGCAGGCCGTGATCAAAAAATAGCTTCGAATGAAGTTTATCGCATCTACTGTCTGCAAGTATGAAAACATCCACTGGAAGTACCTCATCGCCGCTCCAGGCAGGATCTTCGCAGTCGACTCATGCAATCCCATCCGGTAACCGCGTTCCTTGTAATAGAGGTAGATCTTGCAGGTTACCCAGGCCTTCAAGAATGCTGTATCTTTTGAGTGGGCATTCTACGAAGTTTGAGATGCTAACCCCGTTCCGCTTCGATTTTAGAGCGTATTGATAATGATAATATGGTCAAGAGAGGGCACCGTAGCAATGCTCTTACTTTTCCCTATATTTTATCGGGGTCGGGGAGTAATGTGGTGTAGGTGCAGTAACCATATCTACATAATTACCCCGTACTCTGTAGAGAGCATCGGACGTTCGAGGTTTTGAAATTCGCCGGGGAAAAAACCTTCTGCGAGGTTTTAAACGTTTGGGGCCAATCTCAGTGCACGTGATGAGTGGATATGCCCATTGACAATCCAACAAAAATGCTATCCTTAAGACTCCTACAAAACCCATCCACCGGTTCATATCCCACACATATCTCATTCATTGTGCATCTCTATATTGCTCTTGATGGTAGTGATATTGCATATATATTGCATATGTCAGGTTCTTATCCTTAACTAACCCTCATCATAGTTTCCTCACATACCCTAACCATGGCGTCGATCGGTGAGGTTGAATAGAAATGCATCAGCAATATTGTGTTGTAGCTATGTGCAGAGTATGTAGACTGCGTTGTATTTTAGATGAGGTGGTTCTGAGTATAAAAAAGGGATCTCAGCTCTAAAACCACGTTCAACTGTAAATCCTCATCTCCCAGCACTTCAACGACCATGCGATTTCGCAACAAATCAAGGCTCGTCTTAGAAGAGGAATATTATATACAGTGCTCCCCCATTAACATACGATACTCACAATTGATAAATGTAAACAACTCCCCTAAAAATACACATAATCAACATCACAACCTCATATTGCAGGTAATTATCCTCGGTAAATATCATCGAATCTCACGGCGGGAATTCAACCAGGCAACAGTTCCCAAGGTTTGCTGCGAAGTGGCAGAAAGCCAAAATAGTACTAGCGCCAGGATGGGTTTACCGCCCTTCCCTTTGAGAACTTGAACGTTCTTGCGCCCGATGTTCAAGTGAATCATCCCAACGACAACCCCAACCATCAAACCTTTACTGCTACCCAACCCCGTATCATCCAACGCGAACCACCAGAAGCTACATATTCTCCCGGCAGCTTTGTAGCTAGATATACAATCGCGCCGTCGCGGTTCTGCCTTGGGCTCCTCCTAGAAGCTGTGATCGAGTCTGGCTCGATCGGCGGACATCTCTCACAATCAGCAGCTACGGCTACTAACGATGAAGCAGAGAGGCCAAAGATCCTGACTGCAGCCGCTATGAATGATGCTGATGCTGATGCAGTGCTGTCTTTGCCAACTGCTTCTCCCACTAATGGTGACACCGATCAACACGTGAAACCTACCCCAGAGCTTACAGTGAACAACGTTCCATCGCAGGCTCCTTCTCTACATGAAAAGCACAGGGCGGAGCGGGAGAACGATGGTGGTAATGGCAATGAAGATAGAGTTAGTATAAAGGCGGATTCAGAGGCGGAAACCATAATTCAGTCGGGACGAGAAGAGCTATCTCCAGAGAAAAAGAGGCGATTTATTCAACATAAACGCGATAGGAGTCCTGGGAGAACTGAAGACGATAGAGATTCAGGAATCGCGTCGTCATCTGAAGGTGCGAAACCTCGAAAGCGACAGCGGGTGGAAAATGATAACGCGGACGATGGACCCACCGAATCTCGCGATGTTAGTGGACGGATCTCACGGGTTTCATCTCCCACACAGGAGACGAAACAAACCCAGGCAGAAGATTTAGGGAGCGCTTCTGCCATACGCGGTTCACCACACCCACAATCTGGTGATGCTGAAACTAACAAAAGTCGGCCCTCGACAAAGCGTTGGTCAAGCGAGGGCGTGGTTCGAACGGGGGAAGGAGAGACCCGTCGCCATCGCGACCGTCAACATAGATCGGATTCATCCCATAACAAACATCCGGACGAAGCATCAAACATATCTCATTCACGACATATATCTAACCATCGTTCCACATCACCAGCCTATCGTTCCCACCATAGAGTTACATCTGGATCGCAGCCATCTATTGATACTAAGAAAAGAAGACGACCACCACCTACACTTGCAACGGGATCACGCCGCCAAATATCAGAGGATAGAGACTCTGTTTCGTCCTCCGCTAGCGGATCTCCCTTACCATCTGCTCGTCCGCGCAAGTCAGCCACTGGTGAACAATCTGCTATGTCTCCCGCAAAACAGATGCAAGCAAAAAAACAGCGAGATCAAAATGGCCGGACGAGACTTGCCAGGGCTTGTGCAATGCAAGAAGTCGAGGCTGCGAAAGCACGCCACGCTGAACGTCCCGAGGATCTAAACATCTCTGATAATGCGGGGAACACACCACTTCAGATCGCAGCCCTTGAAGGCTGCGTGGAAATTGTTAGATTCCTCATTGAAGCTGGATGCGAAATCGACACAAGAAATATCGACCGAGATACTCCGCTCATTGATGCTGTGGAAAATGGTCACTTGGACGTGGTGAAATTACTTTTGGATGCGGGCGCCAATCCTCGCCTTGGTAATGCTGAGGGTGACGAGCCATACGACCTTGTTCCATCTGATAATGAGAACTATGAAGAGATGCGAAAAATAATCGCGGAGGCCAAGGCCAAGGGGCAGCGAAGACGAAAATCTGCGGACCAATCTGCTCGTGCCACTTCTTCAGTCAGAGAACCGTCATCTCGGGGTGCATCCGCAGCTAGTCCTCGTGATTCCCCGCCAGTACACTGCCAGCGAAGTCCTCCTCCTGTTGGTCTCGGAGCTCGTCGAAGAACTGTGAGGAGTGAAGCAACAAGAAACGATTTGTTGTGGACGAAGGCAACACCTGAAAATCTCCGAGATTTCGCTGCCAAAGGTGATATGGCCGGTGTGGCGAATATACTTAACGTGGGGCAAAAAGCTGATCCCGAGTCGCTGATTGCTGCTGCAAAAGGCGGCCATGACGAAGTCTTAGGCATTTTACTAGGAATGGGTGACCCGGACCCGGATCCTGAACCACTACAAACTGGCAATCACAATAAGCCGGGCTACAATACTCCTATGTTAGCTGCAATTGGCAGAGGCAATATCGCTGTTATTCAACTTCTATTAGATCAACGAGGCTTCGACCCTACACGCCTTGATCGCCGTGGTCGTACGTACTATGAGTTGTCCCGGGAACGCAGAGGAGATCATTGGGAAAAGGAATATGAGCTCTTAAAGCAGGCCTATGATAAACATGTGAAAACTCGCAGAACCCGGAAACTCGATACCAAATCTCCTCGAAGGTCTCGTGATAAAAATGTAGATGTGAAAAAACATGCTCAACGAGAGTCACCCTCCCCGGGACCTTCGTCACAACAAAAAGCTGCTAGAACTTCGGACCAGAATTGCCAAATCAATCACTCGCCTCGGGAAAAAGATAGCGTAAAGGAGAAGAAAAGGCCCGAGGGTGCCAGTCACGGAAAAGAAAAACGAGCCTCATCTATCGGCAACCGAGCAAAGGCATCAAATAAAGAAATAGGCAACTACCGTGACCAGTCTGCAGTCGGATCCGATCAAGAGACACAGCTAGACCGGAAAAAGCTAAAGGACTCCACCCCTTCACAGACCGGAGAAGAGCCTATTAAACGTCGGCGTCTCATTGCTGGTCGGCCACCTGACCGCGTGAAGCGGAGAGAGAGTTTGATATCGTCTGACTCTCACTCTGGTCGCGATGAAACGGCTAAACTGCCTGCTGAGCACACAAATAGCGACGCCAAGCCTACCAAAAAGGCTGGCTCATTGAAGCGTTCTCGAAGCAGTGTTTCCCCAGAACCACCCCAGGCTCGTGGCCGCCAACGCAAGGATGAAGATTCTCGTGATACTCTAAAGAAGCGGAGACGCGTCCGATCAGAGGAGAACGACCTTTCATCCTCCAATAGTACGGCAAAGAAAACTCTAGAGTTACCGGGACGGCCGTCGAAAACCCAAGGGCGGCGGAGAAGTAGTAATGCCCCGAAGCCAAGCACAGATGGAATTCGCACTACTGACAATCAAAACGAGATGGAGTCCTTGGGTACATCAAAGTCTAATCTGGCACTGTCTACGATTAAGCAAGAGCAGAGGAAAAACGAGTCTGATATATGCGACATTCCAATGGAGGATGTCGATCGCGCTGCCCCAGAAGCCAGACACGTTAAAGATGCTCAGGAGGCCGAAGAAAAGGAAGCCAGGGAAGCCAGGGAAGCCAAGAAAGGTAGAGAAGCACAGGAAGCGGAAGAAAAACGTATCGCTTCCCAAGCTGAGCGTGAAAAACAGGAGAAGGAGCTTCGCGAAGCTCAGGCGGCCAAAGAGTCGAGGGAAGCGGAGGAGGCGAGGGAAGCCGCAGAAACAGCGGCCCGTCTTGCTCGCGAGAAGGCTGAAGAAGAGGAGCGAAAAAGACAAGAGCTGGAGCTCCGTCGACTCCGACAAGCGGAGGAAGAGCGCCAGAAGCGGTTAGAACAGGAACGACTTCGTCTTGCGAGGTTGCGGAAGGAACAGGAGGAGCAGGAGCAGCGGCGTCGGGATGCTCTTCCAAACCGACTTCGTGCTGCGGCAAATTTTGTTGGCTGCAATGACCCCATTTCTAAAAGCCATGCCTGGCTTAAAAAGTTCATGCCAGTTGTAACAGCAACTACGCAACAAATCGATCCCTGTTGCGACCCCGAGGCGAAGGATGAAAGATGGATTCCCAACTATCTGATCGCACCCCTTCTTGCCACTAATGATCTTCAGCTTTCGCAATGTATGTCAATCCTGCTCCATTTACCATTAGGCGCGCCAGTGGAGACACTAACCCCATTGACACAGATCCAAGTTGGGAAAAGCGACCGGCCACTCCTACCCAGAGGAGCAATCTCTGGAGGGTAACCCGCCGTATCCTAGTAGAGGAAGGCGAACTCAATCCCTTGACGAGTAGTTACGAAGATGTTAAGCGGAAGGTTATCGAAACTCGACCTAAGTACTTTGCCATGGAGCATATTTTTTGGGTCAAGGTAATACCTCCAATGTATCCTTACGTGGTTTCTCTGTGCTAAAATGCACTTGTAGTATTCCGATTTTATGGATCTGGTTCCTCACATACCTCATTTTCACGGGCTTGATATTCAAACCTTGCGAATGCATGTTGACCCTGAGCCTGATGCTGAAACGACCGACATGAAGTCTCAATTGCCAAATGGGATAAGATCGGGCACTCCAAACGCAGATGCTGGATCAAAATCCCCATTAACTAACGGATTCGTAGCACTAAACGGCCATGCCCATTTTTGAAGCTACCTGACATTTTCAACTTTTCTTTTCCTTTGTTATTCCCCACCCGGTTCTCCTTCCTTCGATCTCGGAGCTTGGTCCATCTCTGGTTGTATTAGAGTTATATATGGGATATATGCGGGATTTGGGTCGGGCTTTTTTAAGGTGCAAACGGAATTCGGCCAGGATGGGGAGGTTTTCTGTATTGTTTGTGTGTGTATGATGTAGTCATGGATTTCTTTTGTTCTTTTCTGCGTCGAGATGGAGTGTTTGGTTATTAATATTATGATTGTCCTTTTGCATCATTTCCAAAATATTACTTCAAAGCAGTCGGTGTTTTAGCTCAGTAATGAGCATGATACGCTGATTCATGTCAATAGTAACATCTTTTTACACTTCGTAGAGAGTTTTGTCAGCAGAGTTGCAAATTTTAGATAACTGAATTAAAATTTTTAATTGTGAATTCTTAAATATATTTAATTATTTGAAGTAAAAGATGAAAAGAATTTAATTAAAAACTAGTAGCTAGTTGAGCAAGATAATATAATTCTCAACTGAGTCAGACACTCAAACTGAGTCGAACACTAAATTTAACATATAAAGAATTTTGGTTTTAATTGTAATTACCAACAACTAAAGAGAAATTTTCATTAAAAATTAAATTTATACTAGAATTTGAACATTTTCTTCTTGTATGTTTAATAGTTCTGCAGTTATTATATCTTTGTGAGATATGAAATCATGATTGTAAAACAGAAGATTCTCATATGTCCAACAGATAAATTAGAGAAAATAGTAAAGCTTTGAGCTTTGAGCTTCTTCTCTTGTAAAATCTTCATCTTGAATTAGTCTTTTAAGTTTTATATATTTTTACTTTTTTATAATTAAAGAGGTAAATAATCTTATACTCACAAGTACTAAAAATTTGAACTTTTTTTTTATATATTTTAAAAAACTTTATATAATTTTATTTATTTATTTCTATAGCTGATAAAGATTTTTTAAAAATTTAAAATATAAAAATAAATTAAAAGTTATTTTAAAATAATTTAAGATATAAAATCTTTTTAATAATAGAATATATATTTAAAAAAAATTAATAATATTTAATTTAAATTATATTTATTATTTAATTAAATTTTTATATAATTATTTTAAAATAGTAAATATTTATATTTAAAAGCTATAATAAATATAATAAATTAAATAATATATAAAATTATTATTATTTTTTATATAAAGTTTAATTAAATTTTTAAATAAAATAATTTTTTAAATATTTACAGTTAAAATAAATATTTTTATAAATTATCTAAATTTAATTTTATCTATTATTTAATTATTATAATTAATATTAAGTCTTTAATTATTTGAAAATTTATCAAGTTAATATTTTTTAAATATTTTTATTATATATAAAATTTAAATAATTATTTAAATTTTAATTTTATTAAAGTTATATATATTATTTAATAAAATTTTATACTTTTTAATAATATTTTATAAATGTTTAAATTATTTATAAAAGTTTATTAATAATTATAATTTTTTAAAAAATAATAAAACTTGATTTAAATATAATAATATTATTAATAAACTTTTAAGATAAACCAGCTATGAAATTGTTAAAATATAGTTAATTAGTTAATCTAAGATTATTAAATTATTATAAAGCTATTTAAGCAGAAGTTAATTTTAGTTAAAGGAGATCTTGAAGTAGTTTATTATCAACAAAACTTGGTAAAGCGAGGTTACTTGGTCACGCGATAGTCTTTCACGTGATATCAAGACACACGCGAGCTGGATCTAATCAGATGTTTCTCCGACAGGTTTTCTCCCTTATCCCGTTAGCCGAGAGAAACTTCCTGCATTATGAATGGTTACGATTATTGATGAAAAGTTTGGTTTAAGTATTTTGACTTATTTTGCGCGGTTGTTTTGTGATGTTTGATTTTCAACGGGGGGGCTGGGGAACATTTGTTTTCGCCCCTAGTTGCGTCGGCACAATATTTAGATAGATAGATAGATGGGAAAGTTACCAGTTATCGTTCTCAAGGAGCTATGGTGCTACTTATTTAGTTTAAATAATATTTATTGGTGGTTGACGATAAATCAACCAAATACCCTGGGGCGAAGAAAAATGAGCGTGCAGTAAGGGTCCAACGCGGGGGATATTTATCTGTATAACTATAGTTACCCGCGTCATGTCGCCTAACCCAGGCGCTTTGGCGCAAGATTGAGATATAATATGGTGTTCAAGGGATCGGACAAGGGGTGTGGATATATATATGCATTTAAGCGCCACATACTCAGAATGAGGCAGAGGAGAAGATGGTTCTTTTGTGTCTCTGTGTATTTCATCCGGTTTCATCCCTGTCTTGAGATGGGCCCTTGTCCAACTTCCCACATTGTGATCGGCGGCTGTTGTTGTAACCATTCCCCTCCTCTTGCTATTATTCGGGATTTTTTTCTTTTTTTTTTCCGTGTTATATCGTTGCGGAAATGCATACTTCTTATTAGTTAAACATCTCGGCTTCTGTTGCTCCTTTCCTGGCTTTCTGTGCATTAGTCTGCCCGATTATATTCACTGCTTTGATAGTTAATAAATATTTAATCCCAACCAACAATGCCACCCGCTGACATCTCTTCTTCGATATCATCACATCCTCCCTCTCTGCCATCGTCGTGAGACATCCCCTCTCCTCAATATCTGCATGCTTTTGGTCTGTTCTATATTGAGTCGTTAATAGTTCTTATTTGCCTTCTGTAACAAGGCGGCTAGTGCAGTCGATCTAAAACGTCAATCCTCCCGCCTCCCACTGACAATAGAATATTTAACTTCTCCCCACCTTGACATGCTGTCGTATAAACATTTCGCAGATAACTGTCGTCTCTCATATCTGCCCATCAGAGGAACAGCAATCTCTACATTCACCCAGCTCTCCATCTCTAGCCTCCTCCCTCCGTTATCTTCAACAACTTGAGGTGATCTTTCGTCCGGTCCCAGAATTTGCAGCCACCCTCATGAATGTCCCCGAAGACGACGTGAATGACAATAGCGTTAGCTTTCTGCGTACGCACATGCCGTCCTCCCTCGATTCATCCCCAGGCCGTGTTCGAAGCCGCAGACACCAGCTACAGCCATTGGAAGATGAGTTGAATAGTAATATGGATCCAAGTTATCATCCAAGGCCGCCTGCGGCCGTTGGTGTAAGCAGTCGCATTCCCATTGTTCGGCCCCAACGAGACGTCTTTAACGGTGCTGCCAACTACGAAACCCGCTCTCGCTCGTCAACTTCTATATATGCCTGGGCGCAAGGATCGGATTACGAAGCTGAGGAAGATCCCAGTGTAGACCCTCCTGATCCAATCCAGGATAGGTGGGACGGTAGGCTACAAAGGGCTAGACGTACATCTTCGAGATCTCCGGGACAAAGGCGGGAAGGTTCGACTAGATCTCCCCGTCTATGGACCGCAAATCCAGATGGAGAATTGGGCGAGCCGTCGCGATATGGTCGGAGTGATCTGGCTACGGCTACGTTGCTTCAATCTGTTCGGCACCACCCGCGATTCTCTTCCCGAACCCGTGCTTTACAGACCTTTATACTTGACCGCGAACGTAGTGGCCATGTCTCAGAAGAAAGAGAGTGGCAACCCCCGGTTACTGCTCCCACCATGAATACTAGCTTATCCACACTGCCTCCCAGCAGTCATTCCGCTGTAAATCGTGGCGATATACCCAGAACCATTAGTGCCTCTGAGCTTCGAGATGCATATTCTGAAGACCGACCGGTTGACCGTCTCGAAGAAACGATAAAATATCTAGACAGGATTCGATTCTCCAACTCATACAATGAGCGTGTGCAGGTTACCACTGCAGGCAATTTCGTTCAATATGAATATCTGCGTCGCAACGAGGATGACTTCATCCTTGACACTTGTTCGATAGTCGGACCTTCAGACTCTTCATGGTTACGGCCAGGGATGGTATTTGAAGGCTCACAGCATGCTACAAATCAGTGTGACCGCTTAGGCATAAATCCCCATCAGAGACCTAGGTCCCATCAAGACCTGGATCCTGTTATTGTTAGTGGAGGCGAACTTGGTCGACGTAATGTACACACAAGTTCAGAAGGCCGCAGTTCCGGCTTGGATGGCTTGTACGAGTTCGGAAACGGCGATTCCACTGGTGCGTCGAGTCATATCAACAGCAGCAGCAGCAGCCATGAACATTGGCCGGTCAAGGTGACGATACATCATGTTGATTATAATACGATGACACTGTCTGGAACAATGGAGGCATATAATATTCCCGATAAAACTTCGAACAGCCAAGGGACTCACATTACCACTTTTCTGGAGGGCGAAATCATCGATTTCAACACGCATTCACTGGAGACGAAGAATTTTAAAGCAAATGTAGAGGTCGATAGCCGATACTGGCGCGAGTTGGAACCATTCAAGTACCTGTCTTACATCGAGATTGTGAAGAACCTTGTGAGCAAGAAATGGGTGACGGAGAAGTTGGCTAAGGGATGGATATTAATGCGTTGGAAAGGTTAGCTTTAATCCATTTGCCTCCCCCCATCTTTTGTCAAATCTTGTATAGATATTGCCATGACTATGCATTGACCCTCCTCCACCTCCAGAACGTTGCTTCATTACCCCATCTCACTCGCGCCAAGGTCTCACGATATCTGGCTTCTACTACATCTCCATCCGTCGTTCGGACGGCCACATCGAAGGGATGTACTATGACCCAGGTAGCTCGCCGTACCAGCACCTCTCCCTCGACCCGCAAACGAGGCATAGGATGATCTTCCCTGCCTATGGTTTCCGTTAAGAGGATATATTAATTGATTGATTGGTTTGCTTTGATTGGTCAACAGAATGGCAAAAACGGTTGTTATATGCTATCTTTCATCCTCTGAAACAATGTCTCCATGAAATTTATGAAATTCTTGGATAGGCCTCAGATGCTCAGTTACATAAAAATACTTATATATAATAGTTATATATAATAGCTCTAACTCTATTATTGTCAATGAGTGTGTGCTTTTGAAATTATACTCATTGCCGCTGCATGTATGTACTGACTCCTGACATTGATTCCTGGTTCATGGAGTTGACTTCACTTTTGTTAATTCCCCTTGTTAAAAATGAAGTGTACTGCTATGACAAATGGCTTGACAATGACATGTGTGATTATTTTTTCTACATGAATAAATCCAGAGACGTTGGGAAACGAGGGAGGTTCTAAAAGGGGTTGTTTGCTCTGTCTTATGCCCTCCTCCTTTTCTTGTTCTCTTTGTCATGAACAGACAGCCACAAGATGCTATCAATCTTCTACCCTCTCATCGCCTTTCAGCATGTACCCCGTACTATGAGAGAAGGGAAAGATGGTCTTGTTTAAAGAAGAGGAAATCCACATTGACATAATGCTTGCTGGCCCTTGTGTGTGATTAAAATACTGCGGAACCGAGTGCTCATTGCCTGTCTCGTCTCTTTCCCATCCCTTCCTATCGAACCTCTGAAATGCGCAATTGATAAATGATTGCTTTTATGAGATGTTGTACCTATCGGGACCTAAATTGTACACAAAATTAATGCACTAATGAAATTTATATAGGTAAATCCGTCTTGTCTTGTAGTCATGTAGTCTTTTAATAGCATCTGGCCTACAATTTCCTTTCTGGAGAATTACAACGGACAACACGGGGCTAATGTGTACGAATTTTCTACTACGTACCAATTGGATGAGGGAACGAAGCTAATGATATAAAAGGAAGGATATAAAGCAAGTTAGATTGGTATCAAGTGTTGCGGAAAATCAGAGATATTGAATCTTTGAAAGACCCCAACTATTTCGTAAGAATTTCATTTTGCGTTAATGCGGCAAAACGTTCTGGCAGCCGCGGAAGCAAACCCAACCCACTTTAGTAGCCATAGATATCCTTTATTTCCCACGTGCACTCCCCACTTTACTCCACAATTATACCTCATTCCTTTCTAATATTTTTCCTCTTTTCCCTCCCATCCCCCTAACTAAGTTTCCATTCGATTGGATCCCGACCTTTGACCCGACCTTCGACTGCGTTTTGTCTATTGCCCGGTCTGGAAGTAGTTGAGGAGGACGGATCGCTCCTGGGACTCTTCACCCCAGTCGCGGAGGACGACGCAAGAGCAGTTAACAACCTTGCGGGGGTTGCCTTCACGGTCGAGGACACCTGTTCACATGAAAAAAAAAAAAAAAAAAAAGTTAATTGATTAGTCCAGACGCTCATCTAAATGGAGTAAAGCCCAACAAGAATTCGACAAGAGAGAGGAAAAGAAAAGACTCACAAAGCCCAACCCATTCGCCCAACATCTTCCCATCAGGGACCTTGATGAGAGGAATCTTGTGCTCCGAGCAAAGCGCAATGACAAGCTTCTTGTACGCGTCTTCCTCGCAACTCTCATTGAGCACACACATGTGAGCCTGGCGGCGGTCGAGGGCCTTGGAAGCCTCACGCAGGCCACGGGCAAGGCCGTCGTGAATTAGAGCGATCTTGAGCACGCCCTTGAGCGCGTCCATGACAGACATGGAGCTGCCGACGGTGGTGTCGGCGGACACCTCGACCTCATCGGCAGTGCCGACGGGTGGGTTGGATGTAGTCTCTTCTCCGTCCGACTGTTTTCGCAGTTTCATCCGTTAGTATTTTTATTTTTATTTTTATTTTTATTTTTATTTTTATTATTTTTTGGGTGGTGAGAAGGTAGGCCGGGAATTTGGCGGCATTGAGGTTGGCCATCTCTGCTTGCTTCCGCTTTCTAGCCATTTGGGAGAAGTAGTTTGAAAGGAGGGCTACACACCATTGTGATCTAAGTAGAATCGATTGGGATCGTTTCCAAATGTCGGATTATCCTCAAAGAGGTGGGTTGTAGGAAAGTGAGTTTCTTCTTGACGTTGCGAGTCCAAGATGGTGTGGTTGGATATTTCGAAGTTCTGTCACCGTTTTAAATTTGAACCTCGTCTAATTTGGTGTGCCCTATTGCTTATATAAGCGACAGAACATTGTGGGTAACACCAATACCACGTGATTACATCGCGGGTAGCTCGCTCGAATTGGATCTAGAGTAAAAGAAAAGTGATAAAAACCTTTAGTTTTTGTGAATAGAGACAGATTTAATTTATCTCACAGAATTACTATCATATTGAGAGTATTTCTTCTATATATTAGCAATAATTATAATATATATTTACTAATAATAATTAAATAATTCAATTAATATTTTAATAGTATATAAGTTAAATTTATATAAAGAAATATTAATCAAGTATTATTTTTATTTCTATTAAATTAATTAATAGCAATAATAATAAAAACTCAAGTAATTAAATAATTATCTTTTTCTCTTTTTTTAAATTAAATTTTAATTAATTATATAATATTATTTATTATTTATTATTTATATTTAATTTAAAAGTTGTAATATTCTCTTATTTATTAGTTTAAAAATATAAAGAGATAATATACTTTTATATAAACAATATCAATATATTGAAAGTTACAAATAAACTAAAACTTGCTTATATAAAAGAATATAGAAATAATAACCAATGTTTCATTCAATAAAAATATGAAGACAGCACCTCTGAAGTTGCTGCAGAAATTTATCTGACATGCATCAAGAAGTTTCAGTGTTATTCTCAAAGCACTGCACGTTGAATTCAAATAGGCACTCTTTCTGGCAACTTTTTGGAATTGTTCTTTGGAGATTTTGCAGCAGATAAATGGTGATGGGTGAAAACGGCGATGTACGATATTGGAGCATGTCACTGACCCTAATCATTAACCTTCCCATCTTTGACTATCCAGAACCTCCTCCTGCCTTTGGATAGCCCCATCATCGTCGGCGACTATTTCTGTTGGACATGTACACCGTTGTGGCATAACATGTATGTACAACGTCATAAAAAGAAGGACCATCGGCCCGTAGGTTGCGCAATGAACTGAACCAAGCCAGGGCCAACTGTATGCCTGACTGTATTGGGCTTATCAATTCTGTCGCGAACTATAAACTAATTTGGCGATGTAGAGAACCATGGTTGTTGAGATACCACGTTTAACTACTTGTTTGGATGTATGATATAGTTATTTGATGACTTTTGCCAACATCGTGGACTCAAAGCTACCAGAAAGTTCAACCCAATGCATTCCTTCTGCAGAATGTTACCCAGGATGTTGCTCCACGTGCTCTCTGAACAGCAATGACAATTGCTGTCAAGAATTTAGTTTCTGGATTTACGAGTCTAGCCACTCAATCAACTTTAACTTCTCCAATACTATTCCAAGCATGATACATTGCTTATTATCGTTCATTACAGAATTCTATGACCAGACCCAAAGTAAAACCAGATTACAGTGCTCACCCACAAACTCTCGGAAAAGGAAAAATGCGCGAGTGAGATATGTAAGACAATAATAACCGTTTATTCCCTACCATCTCAGTCTGATTCCAATGGGAAAACAAAAAATCCAAGGACAAGCAGAGCAGCGGGCATCAGTTACCACTCCCGAATGCCCCCATCAATCCCATAGAACTCCTTTGGTAGCCATGATGCCGCGGTTTCAGCAACACGGCGCACTTCCTCCTCATTTATCTCGATTCCCAAGCCAGGTTTCATTAGAGCGTCAACATGGCCGTCCTTGACATCAAAAACTGAAGGGTCTGTCACATAGTTGGCGATATCATACTCCCCCGCATCCGTGTTATAGTGGATCCCTAGGCTCATTTCCTGGATGACAAAGTTTGGAATTGTGAGGTCGATCTGCATGCTAGCAGCGAGTGAGATGGGCCCCAGCGGGCAGTGCGGGGCCATCGCCACATCGTATGCCTCTGCCATGGCTGCGATGCGGCGAATTTCGGAGATACCCCCGCAATGACTGATATCTGGCTGTAGGATATCGACGCTCGCATCTTCCAGGAACCGTTTGACGTCCCATCGGTGGTAAAGCCGTTCTCCCAGGGCAATCGGTGTGGAAACCTGCTTGGAAAAATGTTTGATTCCCTCGGGATGCTCCGAGAGGAGTGGTTCTTCAATGAATAGGGGATGATAGGGCTCAACTATTTTAGCCAGCTGCTTGGCCATCGGTTTATGTAGACGGCCATGGAAGTCGAGAGCAGCGTCAAGTCCCAGAGCCTTTACGGCTTGGAGTCGTTGGATGCAGGATTCGAGAGCTCGCGGAGAGTCAAGCCAGTTCACGTCCTCAGTAGCATTCATTTTGATTACCTTAAACCCTTGGGCCAACCGGGCTCTAGCCGCTGATTCAACATCCGAAGGACGGTCACCCCCAATCCAAGCATAAACAGATATCTTGTTGCGAACCTTGCCTCCTAATAACTGATGAATTGGTACGCCTAACCGGCGGCCTTTGAGATCCCAAAGGGCAATGTCAATGCCAGAGATTGCTGACATGAAAACAGCGCCCCCCCTGTAGAAGCCTAGGCGCCAAGCCGTCTGCCAGATTTGCTCGATGTCACTGTACCAATCAAGTCAGCCATTATATTCAAGTCCTCTTCTTTGCATGGGTTCTTTCGACATACTCTGCTTCATAGCCTTGAAATCGTTTACAAAGAGCATTCAGGCTGCCCTCAACGGCCTCTGAATGTCCCTCTAATGTACTTTCACCCCATCCATGGTTTCCATCTTCATCAGTAACTTTAACAAACAGCCAACGTGGAAGTACACGGAAATACTCAATGGTTCTGATTTTACCCATGTTAAATCTTTTGTCAAGGATGGAATGGTGGGTTGAGTAGTAAAGCTGGGGAAGCTATTATAATCGAATTCGTCAAGCTAGGGGATTTGGAGACGGACGAATGGACGGCGAAATTGATGGATGATGGACAGGGAGGATGATACCAGCTTATATAGGTAGGAGAATGGTGATAAATTTCGAGAAAGGACACATCAATCCACAGTAAGTCTTCTTCGTAGGATTGAATATATCCGTCCTAGCAGGGATTAACAAAGCAAGAATGATGCAATTCTAGCTATGGGTATCCCGCAAATCTAAGTAGGTAGAGATGCTGCTAGTATCCGCATGGTTTAACAGAGCGGAGTCCATTGGGACATACTATAAAGCGAGGTTTCCCGGTGCTGGTTCTGCCGCAGAGAGATAACATGCTCACGATATCTGCATCGAATCCGACACCATGGCATTTAGTTGGAAGACAAACAACAGGGTAACCCAGGAATGCAATACAAGATACCTTGGCGCTATCGGAATAGAGAGAATCGAGCGCATGTTATCGATTGACACAAGTAATCACACCTGTGCCAATTTAATGGTTGCAAGTTATCTAGGACCTTGGTGGAAGCTGGCTAACCTCCTGCTACACAGCGGAAGCGGAAGTGGCACAAGAGTGAGAACTTATGAGAAAATATGACGGGCGCTCTCCTTGATGAATGAAACGTACAAAGATCCCCCGGAGTTTAAACCTATTTTATATTGCTGAATATTGGACAGCGTCGACTCAGCATGTGGAATCAAAAGACAATAGTGTCTCCAGCAGCCTCCGGTAGCTGGTGTAAGAGACGGTATTTGATTGCAGTGATCCGCCGGTGGATCTGGACCCACTGAAGGGGAGGGACAGGTTGGGACATTTAAATATTTATCATGGCCAAAAGTCGTTGCAAGGGGTAATAATATCCCAACTGATCCATCGGAATTTAGCCTCCTGTGAAAAATCGAGATATTTTAGCCATCCATCTGGCAGTGAGAAAGTTACAGAAAATCAGATAGTCCACGCCTTTCTTTTTCATAAACAGTTCGGAAGGACATCCATTAAAAAAAAAATAAAATAAAATAAATAAATAAAATGGCTAGCCCAGAAATACTCAATATCATCAAAAATTGATCAATGCAATTTGCCGGCGCAATTGCTACTATCTTGGAACCCAAAAAGCAGCCCACATCGAGTCTGTTATACATTACCGGTGGCCTGCAGTGAGTATAGCTATCCAATCAATTATGCATAGAAATATATTTGTGTTTTGTGGGTAAAGATGAGGAAGGTCAAGAAAAAGGGATGACGAGACAATGGTACAGTCAATCAAAGGAATGCGAACAGCAGAAGTGAATGATGGAACAGGTGTTTGTTAATATCCTGGTTTAGCTTGAAATATAAATGTTTCTGTAGATGTATTTTCTGTTGTATCATCATGATCGCAGGTTTCAAAGGCGCAAGCATCTACGATTACATCTGCAACCACACCAATTCTCCCTTTGCATCTGTAAATCCAACTCCAGTTTCCAACAGGTTCCTTGGAAGGTCTATCAGATTGACTGCATTCGATGTCGGCGTGTGAGTTGAACCAGCACAACTTGGAAACAAACGCTAGCCCGAGGTCAATACACTGCAACATTCGGTTCATTTCCTAATTCCAGAAGCCTTGCCTTTGGCGCTTGGTACGGTTTATTGTAATATTTCAAAGCCCAGTTGCCCGGACAGGGAAAGGTGAAGATGGTTGGGGGCTGGCTATGGGCAATTTCAATGACATGCCATGTCTTTCCGCTGAACTGTGAATGCCACAAGACATCAAAGCATCCCGAGTCGTTATATCATTCCGATACCAGTTCTCCAAGATCGAGAGGATCGAGTAAAAGTCGCCAGGGAGAGGTAATGTGCTTAGCAAGAGGGAAAGTATCTCGTAGATGCGAATAGGATAAATATGGTTTTTACATCTAAACTATCTGAGCGTCTATGGTGAGAATAAATTTGATAAATATATCTATTCGTAGAAAAAGAGCCCACATTTTCATCAACAATTGAATCATAAGGGGGGGAAACCAACCTTCCAAACTTACAAGTATATCCAAAAAGCTGATATCATCAATTCAATTCGTGAACTCTTTTGGCACGTAATGCATTCCAATCATCCGCCCTCCTCAAGCAATCAAGTACGACATTCCAAAATCCATCAACGTCGACTCCGCGTGGTATAGTGACACCGCCCTTCCCGGGTTCTAGGAGGCTAGCAAGAGTCCGGCCAACCTCGCCCGTAAGTTCCGGGTCCGAACTATGTTGTCCATCGGTGACAACGTTGACGAGGAAGCGCTCTCCGCCCCTATCATCGAAATGGAGAAATTCCGGAGCCTTGCTTTCACTACTCCGGTTGTTGAGGTTAGACAGGAGCACGGCAACAGCAACGGGGTCGTGAAGTGGCGGCCCGACGTCTAGACCAAAGACACTTTCATAGGTATTCGCAAAAAAGACGAGTAGAGCGTACAGGATCTGGCGGAGGACTGATGAAGTGCCGTTCGTGCCTTGTTGGGGTTCGGTCTGTAAAATTAGGGATTGCACTTTGGGTGTACCTAACACCTGGTGGGTTAAGTCTAGAGGTATCAAGGTGGTTTTTGCTGCGAGAATCGGGGATGAAAAGATGGATTGCGCGGCTTCGGGATCACACTATTTTCATTAGAGGGAGGTAAGGAAAGGGAGGGACTATAATGCAACTCTGGATTCATAGAAGGGGATGCTAACGTAGATATTAAACTCCGCACAGTGTGTGGTGTTTCCAATTCGAGCTTCCTCCCCTTTCCGTTTGCAAATAGGGGCATCCGAAAACCCGTTACCAATTGCACCGCCCATTATGCTGACACCTCGAACATGCTCAACAACTTCGGGAAACGTTGCGAAAAGAAGTCCGACATTGGTGAGTGTGCCAGTTGCCACTAGCCAGGCAGTGTTTTTAGGCTGCGCCAGAAGAGCGTTTCGCATAGCAAGGATCGCATTTGAGTCTTTCATCGGGGGTCGCGTTGGTGCTGGGAGTAGATCTGTACCATCTAGGCCTGATTCACCTAAAAGGGAATGAAAATATTCATGTTAGCAATGGACTGAGGAGAGGCAAATGTGCATCCGTACCGTGAATATCTGGTGCGTGGACAGCAACTCTGCAAAACGGCTTTGCCACGCCTGGATACACAGGAATGTCTGATCTGCCAATGGCTTCTAGTATGCTTCCCGCATTGCGCGTAGTATTCTCGAGCGAGCTGTTTCCATGGACGGTACTGATCCCTAACAATTTCAGAGCGGGATGGTGGACAGCTAAGAGAATCGCAAATGCATCCTTTTTACTTCAGTTCTACCATAATACTTGTATGCGAAGGGGTCAATATAGTGTCAACTTGGTGACTTACATCATGTCCTGTATGGGATATGTTAATTATTTGCTCACTTTGACTTGACGCCAAAAGCAACAGCTAAAACCCACCTGGGTCGCAATCCAACCAAAGAGGAGTTACCCATCCTTCATGCGACAACAGCCCATGTGTAGGGCTTTCTCGGTCTTCCATACTAACGGATTTTCTCTCAATACGCCGATGTTGGTGACCTGCAATTTGGCCGCAGAAGCTTGAAGTTCGCCACTCCGTACCTAGAATACCTTATCGATAAACAAACAAGCGCATCGGCAATTTTAGAGCGCTAGTACATATTGGAACTAGCTCTTCAACTAATTCGGACTTATTCTCGGCCCGTCCAAGCCGCATGATAAGGATAAGGTTCTTGTAACAGGCATCAAACAACAAATTAACGACAGCTTTTCCTGGAGTGTTTAGATATCCTTAGAATCAGCCGCTTTCCAGGTCAAACCTATATAGCTGTATATACCGCCAGTCTTGAAACCCTGGTTTTGGCGAGCGGACGGACTTCCATGAAATCGATGCCATCCCGCTGGATGGTGCGTTGACCGCACACAGTTCAAACGCGGAGAGATGACCACCACCAACAATGGTGGACGATCACGTCTTCAAGGAGCCGCCACGAAATCTGGATCAATAGAATTCTCAGTCAAAGTCCCCACACTTTCTGTTCCATCCTCCAAGTCGTCTTCAGTATCTCGCTCCCCGTCGCGAGCTAGTCAAGCCAACAAATTCAGTGCTCCGACCAGCCTGACCGATGCAACCAACGACAAAGCTACAGCGTCGCTGATCCGCCGTGTGCTCTGTCCACAATCCAATAATCATGGGTCAGACCAACGGGAAAGTGGGACCCCTCGATCGCTAGAGGAGTTGCTTCCTCCGCTGACGAGTTCAAACGAAGTCGACCTACAGCTCTATGCTCTTATTGCCATCATAATTAAAGAGTTTGTTAATGTCTGGTACTCCAAAATTACGACAGACCATAATTTTACAGATGAAGTTATTCAAATCATTGCCCATTGCACCCGTGCACTAGAACAAAGGCTGCGACAAGTAGATGTGGACTCTTTGGTCTTGGATGAGATTCCTGCGCTGATTGAAGCGCATGTTGTTGGTGAGAGTGGAGCAGAGCGTTGTGTATTTTTATACGTTGAAGCTAACTGGGCTTACCACCAAATCCAGCTTACCGCATCGCCAGCCAGAATCCGCAACTAAACCGCACTGCCTCTTATTTCCGTACGGTTTACCACACTTTAAACCCACATCCAGCACTCTCTCCTGCACCGAACCTTTCAGACCCGAAGACGACTGAAGAACAGCAAAAACGGGAAACAATTTACCGTCAATTGCTTGCCCAGGGAATCTTAGCTGTGCTTCTACCAACCGAGGATCTGGAGAATGATTGCCTGAGAACTTTGGTTGGTGATATTTTGGCAGATATGATACTGGGCGAATTGGTCGGCGGCAAGGCCAGTGAAGGTCCTTTTATCTGGGAAATTATCACACACCTTATCATGGTAATTAAAAAGGAGGGATCTTATAACGAAAAGGTGCAGCACGTTCAAAGAAGTCGACTTGAAAAGTTCGGCCTTCTTTCAATGAATGAGGAGTCTGCCAGCGACGATTCGTCAGTCGCAAACAAATCACATTCGTCAGTAATTTTGTGGGGTTTCTTGCAATATTGCTATCTGATATATCTGGCTTTTCGATTTACACTGGCTGGCCTTTTCCGAGCAGCGTCCTCGTCACTTCCGGTTGCTTCACGGAAAGCGCCGTCTTCATCTCCACCACCGAGCCCCCTCAACCCTGCGTGTGAAGCACAATATTTAACCAACAGGGGCAGCTTGCAGCGTCCCGTTCTTAAATATCGACTATTTGGCATGGTGTCGCAATTGGTCGATGTGCCAAAGCGAATGCCATGGCTCGGAGGGGTTCTAGCTCTTGCCCAGCATGCGATGGTCGAAGGGCCAGGAAAGATCGCGGACACTGGGGAGATTGTCGACCGGTAAGCCCAAACTTTTATGTTACATTACCCTTAAGGCTCAGAATTTTATTGTCTTCTTCCCATCTTTTTAAAATGAGAAGGCGCCTTGATTGTGACATCAATTTTCTTTCGATGATGTCTGTCATGCGCGTCATATGCACCAGCGGGTAGGGCAGGATGGATCGCTCAATCCCCTGTAGTGAGAACCCTGGCGATTTTACTATCAATCTAAGGTGTTGCAGTGGCATCTGCCAGAGATGCCAAGCAAACAATGAGCGGGAGGGGTTGCTGATGACTTGCGTGCATGGTTTTTTAGTCACTTGATCTGATAGTTGCTGCTCTTGATCCAATGAGCACCTGAATCTCCTCCAAGGGACAGACCTAGCCGCAGTCTTACCCTCAACCAACCAGCGTTGCTGATTTGAACATGCCCAAAAACACCCTGTACCTCCGTTGCCCTCCTTGTTATGTATTTTACCTTGGTGGTCTTTTTTACCAACCCTTGCATTTCTGTGACGTTGTTTTACCGTATTACGCTGCAACAGTCACGTCTCACTGAAGTCTGTTTTATTTCATTTCTTTCTAGCGGACTTTTTAGACCGTTTTTTACCTTTCCAGTTTCAGAAAGGCGGTATTTTCATGCACTACTTCCATGTTAGTGGCTGTGTTGGGTTTTTTTCCTTCTCCAACTGCCGCCTGAGAAAGGCAAATCAATCATAGGATCAGCAGACAGACCAAAAAGAACGCTCGCAAACAGTCGTCACTAACATCCTCTCCGGTTCCTCATTGGTTGCTGCTGCTGATGCATTGCTTTTGATCTTTTTCGCCGGGGCCGGGCCTTTCCCTCCCGTCCGCTCTCAAAATATGTCCATTTTAAGCCCTTTAGCAGGCGGTGTCATTGGTCGATTATTTCACCTGTCTTTCCTCGCAGCAGCCAGCCAGCCAGCGACAGCAAAATATCGTGGAGCTCCACACGGGATCATTCTTGTTGGTCATGAACCACCATGTCTGTCGATGCTCCGGGCTGATCGTCCGCCACATGATCCCCTCTTGTCTTATCTGCAAGGCAAAAATTCCAGGCCAGTATAAAATCGACCATCTCGAGGATTTGACCATCTCCCCACTTTGTGAGCCAATTCCCGGCTCGAAATTTCGGGAAATGGGTCTCTTCTGATCCCGTCTAAACCCTGTGATATCGGTACACCTCAATTTGTGCAGCTCTTACCTTCACCGTCCCAGTTTTCGGTGGCTATCGATATCACAGAAAACTATTATACCCCTTCCTCTCTTTACCTCCTTCTTCCGCCCTTCCGATTCTGATGCTTCCGTATATGTCTGTCCATCGATAGATAGTAGCTCGTGATGATATCAGTGATCCTCACATCCCTGCTTCACTTTAGCGTTGATTACGAATGGGCCTGATTTGACTTTCTCTCTATCTCCCTCTCCCTCTCCCTCCCTCCCTCCCTCTCTCTCTCTCTCTCTTTCTTTCTTTTTTTTATTCTTTTTTTTTTTTTTTCGCTGCCCAGTTTATTTCTGCGAGTTCTTCGTTGCGAATATTGCGACCGTGATACACATTGAAACCCCTCTTTTCAACTCTTTTCAATGGGCTGGCTTTTCTTTTCTTTCTTTTTCAGATTTCTTTTTCTTTCCCTTTAAATTTCCAAAATTCACTCGTCCTTCTCTCGCTTGAAGTTCCGAACGATCCCTCTAATTAATTATGACCTGCCTGCTGACAACTTTCACTCGGTTCCTCGTAGGTTCTTACACGAGACGATCCAGAACCATCTATTGACCCCCACAATCTTGCCGGTTTTGCTCCTTGCAATTCGAACGACGCTCTTCCCGTTGAATTCAAAACCCAGTCTAAACACCAACATTTCAACTGCTAGCTCATCATCAGCAGATTTGACGGTGCCTCAGGCTCCTGTCGGAACCCACAGCTCCTCGGGTTCAACGCAGTTGCCTGCATCCCTACAAACCAAGTTGGAATCACAAACATCATCAAAAACCCAAGCAAATCCTATTAGGCGATCATGCGCGGCTAGTATTCTCTCGCTGATCCCACGCAGAGTGGCTTTGGCAATATTTTGTATTCCAACAACTACAGCTGAAAAATCACGACAGACACTAAAATTAGAATCTAATAATATAGCAAACACTTCCAACCGCAGCAGTAACAGAATACCCAACGTTGACACGGATATTGACCTGAGACTCGGATCCGCTTATGGACCATGCAAGTCTGGCATTGACCCATCTGCATCTCAACCCACACAAAGCGCTCCCGGTTCCTTTCGCTATTCTAAGACTATGAGCGCCCCCAAGGCAAATCCGAATAGAGAGAACAAAAATAGTGTTGCTCATCCCCATACTCAAGCCCTCGGGGCGTCCTTAGGCGAGCATGAAGCAAATGACGACCAAGAAGAGCTGCTCCTCTCCGCCTTTGAACGTGATATATTGGATTTATTTGCGGATACATATTGTAACAAACATCTCATGTACTCAATCATCGAAACGGTGCTCGTCAAACTCCTGCCCGAAATCTCCGAACTTGGAGTAACCGAACTCATGGCTGAACGGGGCGTCTAGAAACCTTCTTTTTTTCTTTTTTTTGATCTGCTTTCTCACGTGCTCATTTGTTACCTGTGTACGGATGATCTTCTCAATTTGTTTTCTATTTTATCTCATATATGTAGACTGACGTAGTTCCGTGCCAAAAATTTTCTGTATTTTGCAAATGCAGGCTTGGTAAGCTTACTACGGAGTAAAACAAGACTCTTGTATTTGCTCTGAAAATCCACTGCCGCTGCTGAGGACACATTCTCAACCTTTCAGCTGATCTACGGATTCCATGCCCCCCCTTATACGGAGTGCTGAAAACCCATTCATACATGTTCGGAAGAAGCCATCCGCGGATGGTTTTTCTTTCCTGCCCGTATGCTTTCTGCATTGCGTGGCTTGTTAATCATCCCCCCACTGCTAGCTCTCCCCAATTCCCAAGCCCCCATTGAACGAAGCCTGCAAATGGGGGGGGGGGAGGGGGAGAAAAAAAGAAAAAGCAAGAACAATTCAATAAACTCCTTCATTGTTGAAGAATAATAACAATGTCATATCTGGAGGTGGCTCAGGGCGTCCTGAGCATGTTTTTGCTTTTTATTATGGGTTTTAGTTTCATCTCTTTTCCTCTTGTATTGACTAGTAAGGCCTTTTTCTTTCTTTCTTTCTTTCTTTCTTTCCTTTTATTTATTTATTTATTTATTTATTTTTAACCGCCCGAAAATAGAGAAGTAGAGACGAAACAAGAAGAAAAGCCCGGCGGCGTCTGCAGCCCCCCGCTGACTCTTATTTGATGGAAATTCTAGAGTACTCTTGGAGCTGCTTCCACTGCTTTATCGTGTTCACGGGGCTCTAAAATGGGAAATGAGAGGTTGCCTCCTATGATCAAGTATCTCTGGAATTTCAGGTGTTTAACCGCTTCCTATCGATGTTTCCTTTCCCTTCTCTCATTTTTTTTGGCGGCCTGTGAACTTAGTCATGTTGATTGAGGATCCGGTCTTGTCCCCTTCTTATTTCGCATATCTACGCGATGTGATGATAGCCGACGATGTCCTCCCCTAACTCCTGAAGGTATATCTGTGCGTATGGGCATATAAACTGTGGAGACGCATGCATAAAATTGAACCGGAGATATTAGCTATCAATTATTCCTGAATTCATTGATGGACTGTAGTTAACATGCATGAATGATGAGCGGACGTTAAGAGGTTCTTCCATTTTCCTTGTATTTTGGGTACATATTTCATGGTTCCCAATCATTTCACTTTTTCTCCCATGTAGATATTAAATATGCCTTGAACATATTTTATTGCCTTCGACTGGTTACATTCATTCATGTTGCTTCAGAACATCTTGGCCTCGAATTTAGACCAAGGCCTCCCGAGGCCCCAAAATCCATCGGGCACTCCAGACCATCCCGGTTTCAAGGGGTAAAAGTTTTAAAACACGAGTGAAATTACCGTCGGCTTTATAAAAAGGAGGAACTACAACAAAATTGCATTGCCTAGGTACTACAGACAAACCATTGTCGATACATGTTTGGGGGGAGTCGGGAAATGCAGGCTAGCCAGATATTTCAACGAGCTTATGCCTGACATAAAGTTTTGTTGTATAAATTATAAAATGTTATATTTCCAAAACTAGGTATGGGTCTCTGGAATATGCGTGCGGCATGCTCCGCATGTCCATAAAATCCTCATTGCTGGTTTCTGTGAGCCCCTTTACTTACTGAACTCTAATTCCCACGCTTGGGTCAGACACCTCGTTTTTGGCCCAGATGCCTCCATTTTTTGTGACGTACAATTTCATTAAAGAGATCAATTCATTTTTGCCCATGGAGATACATGAAGATATCGTGTCAGAAACTATCAAACTATCATCATAATTCTCATGGGTCAAGGGTGGCATGTCTGCTAATGTGAAGAGATTGTCATGGATAAATTGATAGGTATTATCGTAATATTATGATGCATTAACTATCTATCCGTTGCGGGGACTTATGCCACGACCGTATTGATACCTTTTTCCAAGGTTTACATGACCCGGGCGAGGTACAACTACTGGCAGAAATATTAACAGCTGTAATTCATATACTTCATATCGGTATTATACCTCTTTTTTTAGTTCGATGAGTTGCCTTCAATGGAGAACCAAATAGATACAGATTGAAGATTGAAGACGCATAAAACTGGGGTAGCAACAAAGGCTAGGAAAAATGTTAAGGAATTTCCGATGAAGCAAAAAACCCCCCTCCTGGGGAGAGCGGATGGTATGACTTCTGTAGCAAGTCGTTGTGTAAGATATATGCAGTACATACCGTCAATTGGGTTGAAGATGCCTGAACAATCTGACCAGATCAGGTCGGTTCATCGAATTGCACCATGTTCATTGCATACATCTGTACAAATATGGGCTCTCACACCAGAGGTGGTACCTCCATCCCTTGATATAATTCATCCCGCCGTCCACGATCACGAATGGATCCTTGCCCAGTGCTTTCTTGACCCGCCCATATGCACATATATATAGTAAAAACCAAACATAGAAGCTATGAAAGTTGGAGGCAACCAATTTTCAATTGAAAAGGGGAACATTCGGCTGCCAATTAACAATCTTTCGTATTTGTTTCAAATTGGTAACAGATTAATATAAGAATGCTTTGAATATGAGAGCACTGAGATCAGCAGCAAAAGAAACGCCAAATTGGATGATAATACTTGAAATAGGAACGAGGGATGAGTGAATAACAATGACAACAAAACAAACTGAGAAAGAGTCCAAACATTCAACGGATGTCCAGTTAGTAAAAGAAAACGCCAGCTGGTAAGTCGAGCCTTTTCCCAAGACCCGGAGATTCATGTATCCAAAATTTCCCTTTTAATCCCTTTCCTACCGGTTATCCCATATCCCTATCCGCGCGAGCGGTATATATTTAACTTTCCCAGCAAAAGACAACAATAGAGGGATCCTCATATAAACAAAAATAAATATCAACACTTTCGACCCTGGATGTTTGAAAGCCGCTGAGGGTTGCAGCTACCAAGACGCACTGTTTCTTCTGTCTGATTCCATGTGAGATTCCCGTCCTTCTCAATGCACCGATAGATAAATATATGATTCCAATGAAATGCGAGAAAATAACACGAGAGAGAAAATGAAAAAAGACATTGAAAAGGACGCACCAGACAACTATCAAGTGAGCACAGATTGGTCCAAAAAAATAAAAACAATACGGAAGAAAGACAACATGAAAAAAGAAAAAGAAGAAGTAAACGTATAGAAAAGGTTAATACAGCAACATATCCTACTTGGAGTAGATAAGAGGCGGGAAATGCTGACGGGTTTGACCGGCCCCAGTTTGCCGTTCCACCCTGGGTTTGGATGTGCCAAGAAAAGATTCCCAGAATTGCACAACAGGTTCCCCATTTATTGGTCGTGCTGTATCACAGTGAGTTATCGTGACCTTGCTGTCATGCGGTGCGTGTGCATCCTCCCACAGCTCAGGACCTTGATACCCGATTCTCAAGTTTGAATCAACATGCCTGTCTCCTTATCTTCCTAGGGGAAGTCTCGGCTGTCAAAAGCAACACAGAGATGGCCGCTGTGGCCGACGAAAAGTCAAAGTCATGACGCAGCTTTAACGTATTGTTACTTTTCGCATATGATTTCGCAGTTCTTTTAAGAACCCGCTGATGCATCATAAACAATAAGACAGCCAGCCAATGGCTCTCAGTTAAAATTAACAGAGCTCATAATTAACATGACAAAACCTGACAACGGGCCATAATCTTATAATGACGACTCATGCAGTCACCATTTCGGCGCGCCTTCGAGTTATAGCGTGTGTATGCTTCTCTTCTTGCTCACCCGGGGACCGTCAGCATGTTCATCAATGCGAGGCAGCCCTCGCTGTCCAACGGCTTGGTTTTGAGCCAGCTCTAGCTTTTCCATTAACTTCCCGATGGTTAGGTACTCCTGTGCGCCCAGGCCGGTTGGTTGGTTATTAAAATAATTAACAACCAGCTCCAGGGCACGACGTGCCTCATCGTGGGTAGGAGAACCCGGGGAAGAAATGGGAGAGACGGTGGAGGATTTAGGTAGAGATGGGGGTTGAATGGAACTGGTTGTGATCTCTGGGTTGCTGCGATTCCTCTTGATGCTTGACGACTCGCTCGACGATGGACGAGTATTTCCATGTTCTTCGTCGGCTACACCTGGGGACGTGGATGTCTGAAGTACATTTTTAGGTGACGCGTGATCCGACGATCCGTTGGCAACTGAACTTGGCTCTGCTCCGGCAATCGGGAATGTCTGACTTCTTGGTCGACTGGAATTGCTGCCCAAGTCTGGAGATACACGTGATTGATTTTCAGGACTGAAAGGGTTCTCAGAGAAAACAATCGAATTAGGACTGGTTACGGTCGTGGCACGTGTTGTTGTTCTGTCAAGTGAATTGGCGCTTTGAGAGAGCGACTGATTCCGGAATTCAGAAGCATACTCAGACAAGGTTCCATCGAAGCTCTCTTGCTTCAAAGAGGATTGCTGCTGCTTTGGGGATAGAGGAGAAAGAGTTGTCGTTCCACTTGGGGACAGAGGAGAAAGGCCGTTCGGGTGTTGGCTCGACAAGGACGTGTTGGATAGCCCATTCTTAGGGCTTTCTAGTTCCTTCACTGTATCAACTGAGCCCTTTCGTGACTGTGTACCTATTAAATAGTTCTTCTGTTTAAATTTTTCCAGCCAACTGGAGCTCAGTATCTTTTGATGATTTTCAGGACCACCAACAGTACTTGCAAAGAAAAGAGCCTTCTCCTTGATCATAGCATCGCTTAACCGACCACCTTGGCGTTGATGGTTCCTAACCCAATTTGACAAAGCCCGCTCAATGTCCGGAAATTTGCCTTTCGACTTTTTAATCGGCGAACGGCTACCATCATCGGGGTAAAGATACTTTTCTTTCTGCCGTAAAACTTTGGAAACGGTACTGGGACAAAATGAAGTTAGGAAACGGAGAGTGGTAAACGCCAGATGAGGCTTGCGATATATATATATACCTTCGTTCCACACCAAACATGGCTATTCAAACAAAAGAAGTTAGCACGATAGGTTGTAAAAGAGTGTTTCCGAATTATCAAAAGCTCTCCCTTACCTCCAATGTCAGTCTGCTTAACATGTGGATTGTCTTCGTGATATAAACACATTCGACGTCGGTCATTATCCGTTAAAGTTCTGCGCGGCGTAGGTGCACTGGATGATATTGGAGCCGTGTGAATAGGATGCACACTAGGCATAGAGGACATCGGAATTGGTGGAAGAGGAACTGGTGGAAAATTCGACTGCGTGGTCAACATGCTCGGCCACTGCGACGGGGTTGACAAAGGTAGCAATTGTTGGGATGTATATGGTTGTGGGATCGACATGCTGTAAGAAGGTTCTACTGGCATGACGGGTGAGGAGCCATAGGCAAAGCTATTATAATCGTTTAATGGCGAATGGTGCTGGGATTGACCGTATCCTCCCATATCAACCCATTGAGGGGCGCCAAAATCGTGGTCTTGCGGTTGGGTTTCAGTATCCATATTCAGTGAATGTCTCAATGTCCTTGTTTGTCCCTTTCCTTTAATCACTTTGAAGAGGAGAATAATACTCTTTTCCTTATACAGTGTTGTGTATCTCTTAATACATTAGGGCATGAACGAGCAGGCTGAATAGGGGAAAAGGAATGTTCCAAGATGACGTGGGCAGTAAATCGATCAACTGCAGAAGCGCAGTGGAAGTTGAGGGTTCTCAAACTATAGAAAATCAACGAAATTTCGATTCATACTTGAACGGCGTAAAACACAAGAATTTAAATTGACTCAGGAAAGGAAGAATAGAAGGAAGAGAGAGTGTTTGGCAAGGAACAGGTCAGTGCAAACGGAGCACTCCAGGTACAAAACCAGACTATCCCAGGTATGCAGTTTTTGAGCTTCATTTATCGGAAGCGACAGGAGGTCTGTGAGGGGCCGCGGAGGGTGTTGTTTTATAACCTGGAGTACAGCACGAAACCGCAACCTGAAGTGACAATGTGCAAAAGTACCCTTGCAGCCCTCGAAAGAGGGATGAATGGGCAAGGAACAGATCAACTAAGACTGATTAGTGTCTTTGAAAAAAGAGTAAAAGAGAAAAGCACTTACAGAGTACGAATAGGACATCCAGGAAAATTGGAGAATAAAGTTAAAAATTGGAAAATGGGTAAAAACCGTCCAGAGGTCGCCGAAAAGTACCAAAAAAACGGCGTGGAGTATTCCGTCAAAGATTGGGGATTGTTGACTCTGCTTGACCATCAAAGCTCCGAGCGCGCTAGTACAGAGTAAATGACGAAGATACAGGGGGTTGGAGCCAATCTGCGGAGTATGGAGCCGTAAATCGCGGGGAGAGCTAGATGTCAAATGCCCAAGGCTCTTGAGAGAACATTCACAATACGCACTAGAAACAGCATTTGACCTTGTTACAAAAAGAAAACCCATTACGGCTTGGAAATACACTACTTCAATGCAGTTAACGAAAATGGATACCGATACCAACTGTCCCATCCATTGGCGAATACAAAATAATGGAAGTTGGCGCCTCGAGATCCTGGTTGGACAAGATAAAAGGAGGATCCTCATCTGCAATGCTCGAATGGGATTAGCCTACAACATATTTTCCCTTCACAAAACGGAGTTCCAGTGAACTCTAAAAGAATAGGTATGGTCCTATTCGACAGGCAATTCCAGTGCAGGGCAGCGTTTCCCGATTCTCGTATGAAATCTGACACTGGGTGCGAGACCGTTTTCACTCCCATCTGTACACTGGACTGGATCGACTGAGTTCTGAAGGCTTGGATACGACTGTCACAGCCCAGCCACATGAAAAGGTTTCAGCGAAGGAAGGATAGACGATACCTTATTCTATCCACAGAGAGAGGAAATGGTAGGGCCGAAGATAACAGGTTCTGAATAATCCTTATTTCTGTAAAGAGATGAGGGGGAAAAGACCAAATGGCGCAGAATATGCCTCCAAACCTGTCAAGGAGGAAATGTTTTCGCTGCGGGGAACCCCATGAATCATGGATCAGGACAGCAGAGATAGAGCAGAAATGGAGTTAGGGCCTGAGCAATCTTGGTGTGGAAACACCAGCTAAAAAATTATCAATAGTAAAACGGAATGCATAGACTGACACTGGGATGTCGACTCGTGGTCTGAAAGCCAGGTTCGAATATCATATCGGATAGACCCTCGATGGAGTTTCAAATTGTCGCAAATGGTCCTTTTTTTGGGCATATTGATATCGAATTATTTGCATGGCGCTGCTAGTTTCCTTAAAGTGTCGCATCACCGCCACCAGATTACGGATTGACGGTCTCTACTTAACATCATTGGCTCTTGGTAAATCCGCGTGCCATCAGATCATCTGAGCCTGTATATGAAAAGAGAGAACCATCTGCCCTTTTTGGGCCTGTTCTCTGCCGGCATGCGATCATATGCAAAACAGGAAAGGCAGGGCAAGTATCATTGCTTAAACGACAATTCAATCAAGGTATAAAGGATTGATTTCGCTGGGAAAAGAGGTATTCTGCTTGCTTGAACATGCAGCAGAACTCCAACTCCAGATCTGTTTGATGGTATATCTGTAAATCTTCCGACGCTGGGCTGCGGTGCCAACATACGGAGAGATATGCCCTTGGAACTCTTTAAATAAGCCGAAGTTAACTAAGCCAAAGAGTAAAGCTTCGCAGAACGCCTTTAGAGTCCAAGAGGACCCTTGAAATGTCGTACAAGTTTTGCAAGCACCCAAAGTGTTTTGATGGATAATTTCGAAAACGTTCGGAATCCCCCTTGGATAATTGACAGACAGCCGACCTACATGGTTTTCCGCATCTGTTTGTGCTCATGTGAGAGGGGTACAGATATCCGAGCCTGGACTTGGGAAGATAGATCGTTTTTGCCCTCCTGGTTGATGAAACCCAGGATGCTCAATCGATGCGGACGGGTCAAGACACATTCCAAAAAAACGGCTGTTTCTTACCATGTATTAAATGTAGCAAACAAGGCCACAGGGAAAGGAAAAAGCAAGCAGTTATAATAATACAACCAGAGAAAACCGGACGGTTTCCACAACGATACAGTACAATACATTACCTGTCAAATAATACCAATCTAAAATGGCTTCGTAAGGCGATACCAGTGATGCAACCGTTCTGAAAAGCGCAGCAGCAAGGGAGGCCGCTAAAATAAACGGGTCCGGGCCGGTTAGATGGTTGCACTTGTTGACGCTGACCCAGGTTCCAATCATCCAGTCGGAGCTTCGTTCAAGGGGAGATCCATGCCGGTTGGCTTTTCACTGGACGCAATTGCATGAGAGGCGAGCGCCCGGTGGGTGGTGTTCAAGAATTTAGTCTGCTTTTTCTTTCCTTTTTTATTTTATTTTATTTTTTATCTTTCCCGCTCTCATGAAATCCAATCCCCTTTGAGAGCATCCGTATGAGTCTTGGGTTCTAAGTTGCGCCATCCTGGAGAGGAAATTGTTGGCGGTTTTCCGGGCTAAGGGTTAGGGAAAAGAGCCTTTTTCATATTTGCAAATTTCCAGCATTTGACGGAACAAGAGCTTCATGAGTCGAGGAGAGGTCAAGGGGGTTATCAAAGGAACATGGTCTCAACCACCACCATGTGCCAGTCAGCGTTAGAAGCGAAGGTTAATTAATTTCTGGTTATGGGATTGAAAGCGTGTGCCTGGAGTATTCAACGGATGTCGAACCGGAATCTCCTCGTCCTTCAATACGTCCATTCATCAACATCTCATGATAGGAACCGTTCCGAAAGATGAACGAGAAGCGCTGATTTATGGAACAATCTAGTCCATCTCGACGTTGCATGCGAAGCTTCAACATAAACAGGCCAACGCATCTTACATTATAGATTGCTAATATTCCCAAGGAATGTTTCTTGTTATTAGAAGATATCAAAGTCAAGTAAGCACTTGAAACCTATTGAAAGGTTGTCGATCTTGGTCTTAGCTCCTTAATTCAAATCGATATCATTTTCGGAGTCGCCATATCTTCTTCCTTGATGCCTGTGAGAAAATGCCCCAGCGTGATATGTACAGACGATAAGTAAGTTTTGCGGGTATCATACCAGTGGATATGGATTGAACCTATCACAACAAGGGTAGAAGTCGGAAGCAGACTCTCCTTTGAGGCTCCGGGTTCAGAGTGTGTTGTTGATCCAAGTCGGATACTTTTGCGCGTTTTACTTTTCATAATGGGCAGAATTGGAATCGCATGGGGGACGGAGCAATGACCGCCAGAGATATCCTCCGTAACCGTCGTAACCTAATATATATATATATATATATATATATCAAGGGGATCCTCTACCCCAAGACACCGAATCTGGTTTTGAATTGTTTGTGGGTTACATTCTGCAACTGAGGCTAAAACTGTGGTCTGCTGTCAAATCTTTGATCGTTGATCGTTGATCGTTGACTGTTGACTGTTGACTGTTGGGAGGTTGGACAGAGAGGTCGATGACGTTGGTCCTGGATTGGAAAAGTACTTTTTAAAATCTTTGTGCGTGGGGATAATCGATCAAGCTCGAAATGGTATTTATCGTCACGCACCGTCAGAGAAGAATTTCACGCAGTCCATACTCTTACATCCAAGTCTCTTTGGGGAGTTTGTGCTGAGTATGTCTCCCCATCAACTCTTTATTATCCTTAAATAGCCCTTGTCGGTATTACCATGGGCAAGGTACCTAACCGATCAATCCCACACCACAGTCTCCAGTCGCTCTGGATACCAGGGTTCCTAGACGAACATCACTCTTATGTGGGTTGGGATCCTTATCAACATCCGCAGAAGCAGGTACGCTGTTGCAGACATATTATTCATCCATACATAGTAGTTATCTGTATTCCATATACTCCTTACCAGGCGCATCGAACTCTTGAGCCTCTGTGCTAGGTTCGTAATAAGCCTGCTTGTGTCTGGATAATTTTGCGCAGATATTAACTATTGCCCTTCCCAGAACCTAAAAGTTAAAACAGACTCGAGATCTGCCATCGCAGCTGGAGCTCCACTTGACAAGCCAAAAAGTTGGACCTAAAACCGACCAGTTAGGAAAAAATGATCAGTCTAAATTAACTCGATTGCGTCGAGCCAACCATGGATCAGATATCAGCCTTGTCCTTCCAGTGTGCGGTCAAGGGCCGTCAGTTGAAAGCTGATTGATTCCTCAGCCCGCTTCCGCATAAGAAGCGAGATGCAGACCCTAGTTTGAACTTGCTTGGCCATCCTCTCTATTCTTTTACGGAAAAAGAAAACGCACCGTTTCTCACTTCTGGTCCGCTGTTACAATGGATCGAACCCCCGGAAGTGGCGTCGTTCAATTTTGTCCATTCTAGACGTGGTACTCCGTAGAATATTTGCCTAATTTTCTTTTTCTTTTTCCTTTTTTTTCTCTTTTTTTTTCAGCCAATATTTATGTTGCGGTACGCCATTCTTTTTGAGTAAAATTAACCTTCCTTCATCACAAGCATTGAAGTTGAGGAGACAAATAGCTTTTCTGATGTGTGTCAAGGACTGCCTCAAAAAGTAAGAGCTGAACAGTCAAGGTCAGCTTTCTTTGGCTGTCTTATGCAGCCAAGGCCTTGGGTGAGTTATCCGAGCTTAAATATCACTGTCATCATTCTCAAAGCCACGTTAAGTATTTGCGTCGCTACGGAAATTGTTGGTCTTCAGTTCTTTAACCACACAATTCACAGCAAATTGAAAGCATCTCATATGCGGATTCAAATGATGATCAAATAATAGCTTTTCAGGGAAATAATTGCAGGACCAAACCTCATCTGGAATGAAACCATGAGTGATTGCAACAATTTATATCCTCAGGCCTCAACAGGCTCTTACTCCAAACTCAATTGACGGCCAAATGGTGCAAGGTGTTCATTCCATATTTCATTCCAAGCTAGATTTCCTGTGCAATTGACCAGGGTGGATGATGGAACGTCAAAAAGGCTCACGATTTCTCCCCCTGAGTTTTTTTATTTTTACAGCAGCTTTAGTTATTCCTCTGTTTTAACATCATTTAAGATCCCAAAGCCCATGAGCGTATGCTGCCCCTCCCCCACTTTTCCCAAGAACCTGATTCCGACACATGCCTGTCTGTTGCAGGCCAAGACGGAAACATCCCTAATCTTCCCCGTTGGTATGCTGATCTAGACAGATGGAGTTAGGCTCTTGTGACATACATCAAACTCTTCGTTCCAAATAAGCTTGACGTGCACCCAGAATAATGCCCTGCACGTTGGCACCACCCGTTCCGTAATTCCACAGTTGGCCTTTAAACAGAAGGAAAATGTTTTCTTGCCATTTCAAAACATTGTAGTAGGTAAATATGTCTCCTGCTGTAGTTTTTAATTCGTTTAGTTTTGCATACTTCCTTCTCTCTTTTTCCTCTTTCAATGGATATTCCAACATCTTTTTTGGATTATCATTTGAAGTACTTAACTCAGCTTGGCTCCATGACCTAATGCAGCTTGGAGCGAAGAAAAAGCAGAATACTCCGTACATGAAGCTGATCTGCCACGGTTTGCACAACTTGCCAGCTTCTTTCTCGTGTCGAGCTTGGTAAAATTTCTAAACAAACTGGGCTTGCTGATGAAATCAGAAAGAGGAGTTGTCATTTGTGCAGCGGGGGAATTTGTTCCACAAATTAAATTCTCATAGAACTAATGATGGGATATAATATATTTCCCCCTAATTAGCTAAAGAGCGCTACAAGGTGGGAGGGGAGATAAATGGCAAAAAAAAAAAAAAAAAGGATATCTAGGTAACCCTGATAAAGAAGGGATTGGCTGATAAAACAGAGCAGAGGATGGCCAAACTGCTCTCGGAGTGTGCATTTCCTCAATATATCGGATTATGAACAAACTCATCGGCAAACATGAAAAAATTGATAAGGCTATTAGAGCAAACTGACGAATGCCATTTCTCTGCCTCTTTTCATTCTAATGGAAAGAAATTCCAGGATCTTGTCCAAATCCCAATGTTTGAAGCATGTTAATCCTCCTAAATTGAGGTCTCATTCTTACCCGTGAACACCTCGGATGGCTTGAAAATTGAAACTCTCTCTAACCTTCATATGCTCGGAAATCAGATACCAATACTTTGAATATAGTGAGGAAGGGGTACAAGTTATTCAATGCCTCACAACTTAAGGAGGGAACGCATCCGCAAGATCGGAAACCCGACCTGTCGCATAAAGAAACTTTCCGGGTTTCCATCAAGAACCAAACTCCAGGAACAGCGGAGCCAAGGATGAGAATCACAACATATCTACTCTTTTCAGGGTGATTCCAGCTGGGGATTTTGATATCTCGTGGCTTTGATAGCCCCCTTTCAAGGTTTTATCAAGTGGACATTCAAGAGAAGCCCAAATTACCAACCTCTCGTTCGTGTCCTAAAACTACCATTGCTCAAGCTATCACAAGCTTCTGAAACCCTCAACACAGCAATGACTGCTGAAGCAGTTACATATTGTGAGTTCTCATCAAAGTCTCCAAAAATTCATGACACAGAATGCTGCTTCTGATATTTCTTATTCATTTCAAAAAGTAGCGCAAACCTAGCTGCCTATATATGGATTTGAAGGAAAGCAAAATGCCTAGGTAAAGAAATACAAACAACTCCCAATTTATGAATTACGATGGATATCAGCTTTTGAAAAGAATAAATAAATGATGCTGCAATGAATTGTGCTCTATCTGATGAGAAGTCTGTAGGTCAGCATTCTGTTTCTTTTTTTTCTGTTCAGCCTACCCTGATGCCGCCTCCTTATTCCCAACAATTAAAAGGGGATGGATGGTTTGAAGAAAGAAATAAAGCAGAAAAAGAAAAAGAGAGTCAGACTGGGAACAAAAAGAGAATAGTCACACGCTCTTGTGAATGAGAATTGAGTCAGTTATTCCTCTGTTTCTTTTCTTTTTACAATGAATGTTTAGAAGGACGAAAAATAGAGAAAGGGAAAACAAAATGAATATAAGATTTGCTTGAATTTTTTTTTTCTTGATAATCTGTGGAAAGGGAAGCGGAGGTAACCCTGACCTGTTTAAATATTAAAGTTGATATGTATATAAACTTCATAGATGACAACAATAACATTATACATATGTACATACTCATTTTGAAAACTTGAAACCTGATCATGTTAAGTTTTCCCTTGATCCTGATTTTGAACTTGTTTCTTTTCTTTTCTTTTTTTGATACTGAATTCAATGATTGATGGAAACTTTGTGCTTCGTGTTTTACTGACAGAATGCAGTTTGCAAGATAAAACTATACAAGTCTACTACAAAAAATCATCATAACTAGCGCTTTGACCTTCAAAAGGACAAAAGAAGAATAAGAAAGAAAAGAAGGTTGAAGGGAAAACTATCTATATTTTTGTTTTTCAACTCAGATACCGCAGCTGATGATACATTGACCTGTTCAGGATTAGCGCGGCCGAGTGCCATCTAACCGTTTCTTTTTCTATTTCTTTTGACGTTCTACACAAAGGTCAAACAAATGCACCATCCCTGGTTGGGAAATATGCTTTTTTACACGCACACAGACACACACACACACACCCAAAATAATAAATAAATAGAAAAAAGAAAAGAAAAGAAAAGAGGATTAACCCCTTTCCATTACTCATCACCTCCCAACTAACAACAAAAGAGAGCTCGAAACCACTGTGCTGAATGAATGACGTTTCTTTCTTATTTCTTCCCCTGTCATTCACTGGATGAAGTTGATGTTGTGTACCCATTATTGATCTTTGAACACTACACCTGGTAGATTCAAACCAAAATAAAAACGAAACCTCGCTCCCGATGAGGTGTGTATATAATAACAGAAAGCAAGTGGCAGTCTTGATAATCTGAATGAAGAACAACAGCTGTGTGGGTTGCCATCTCAGCTGACATGGAAGAGGAGAAAGAAAGATAGGCATCATTTTTTATCATGATAAGGTCCAAGCTTCTTTGTGCTGGAAGTAGTGAATTAGTGATGAGAAAGAAGATTGATGACATGATTTGCACATCAACCATCACCATCAGAAAATAATATAAAAAATGACAAAAACAAAGGTCCCAATCTCATTGCCCCAACGTAGATCTCGCTGACCTTTGGTTCTTGGGTGAGGTTGGAGGAAAGTTAAGGGTCTGTCTGTGTATTGGCTGGTTATACCTGCCAGATATCAGGGTTTCCTTTTAGCAGCAGCTTCTTTGCATGCTTGGTTATCGTTTCTATCGCTTGACGATCGTGACTGTGTAAATTCTTAGAATTTGGTTTCATACAGGCAGGGAGGGGGGAAAAGAAGGTGTGTGTGTAATAATGGTGTTGTTGCTTACTTATGTCCTCATCAGCGAGTTCATGGCTGAGTCCCACTCGCTGAGGTTGATGCTTGACCGAACGACCATAAACGATTGCATGTTTGAATTGATCTACGATTGTTTTATGTATGGAATTGCACTACGGAACACGGTTAGCTGTTTGTTTAAAGCTCCACCCATACTATCAATGTTGCCTTTTCGTGACGTAGGGGGACGGGTTGGCTTACGAAATCTTCAACGGTGCTAGCATTACTACGCAAAACTACAGGAGAGGTATAATCAGGATTCTTGCCCTTGGGTTTCGTATAGACTCTCCTTAGGTCGAGTTTTTCCCACATAAGCTCGAGGAGCTCGTCGATATTCCAACCGTGTTCGGAACTGATAGGAACTGCGTTCGGGATACGATAGAGTAGGTCCAATTCCTCAATTGATATAGAATCGATCTTGTTCAAAGCATAGACGACGGGAATATAGCTCCGACTTCTCGCCTCGAGCACATCGATAAGATCATCAATCGTTGCGTCGCACCGAATTGCAATGTCCGCGGAAGAGATTCGATATTCGCTCATCACCGCTTTGATTTCCTGCATAGTTGATATAAGCCTGATTGCTACCAAAATGCATACAGCTCGTAGAGATGGAGAAAACTAAAGGAGACAAGAGCTTACATCGTGATCGATATTCGTTAGTGGCACGGTACTCGTGATGGAAATACCACCTTTGTCCTTTTTCTTAAATACTATGTTTGGCGGTGCCTTGTTTATCCTGATACCGAAACCTTCCAATTCTGACTCGATGATTTTCTTATCCGTCAACGGCTTGTTCACATCCAGGACGATGAAAATAAGATGGCACGTTTTGGCGACGGCAATAACCTGTCGACCCCGGCCTTTGCCATCCTTTGCTCCCTGGATGATACCGGGCAAATCAAGCATTTGAATTTTTGCGCCGTTATATATTACTTGGCCGGGTACAGTCGTTAAAGTCGTGAATTCGTAATCGGCGGCTGCGGGATGGGGTTATATAAGTCTGCCTCCTAGCATGAAGGTCGTGGGTTGACTTACCCTCAGAATGCTGTCCAGTTAATTTGCTCATCAAAGTACTCTTCCCGACGGATGGGAAGCCAATAAAGCCCCTTTTTGGCACAAGTCAACGTCAGTCACGAACGTCTCCGCCAACATCTGCTTGACTGACATTACACATACACGCTTGCTACGCCAGTACGTGCAACGTCGAAGCCATCTACACGAAGAAACTGTTAGCAAATGGTTCAGAGAAATGAGGACGAGTGACGGCATGGAAGAGTACTTACAACCACCGCCGCCCCCGCCGCTAGAGGACGGAGCGAGAAGCTCTCTTTTTAGCTTCGCAAGTTTAGCTTTCAGTTGACCTGCAGCGACGAAAATAACAATCATAACATATTCATATTAGCCAGATGGCCCTGGAGCTATGCCCTGCGAATCTACCCGACCTCCAGCCTCACCGATACATCTAAATATATGTATATGTAACCCGGGCGAACGCACCTAGATGATACGAGGTGGCCTTATTTTTTTGAGTCCGAGCCATCTATCGGCTGATTAGCTTCCGGGGTTCTAAATTGGAATGATAGGAAGGGAAGAGCCTACTTCGGTCTCAATCTCCTTGATCTATTTGAGGTCACGAAGTTGTTAGTTGCGCTACATCCAGCTTGTCTGATCGTGGGGGGAGGCGGAGGAAGAGGAGGAAGAGGGGGACGCACCTTGTCCACAGTGGTCGCCATGGTTGCGGTATTGAGAGTTTCGCCTTTGATAAGGGGTCTATTAAAATAAAAAATAAAAAAATCGAAGAGACCGGCTCTATGCTATGCAGATGTCATTATGTTAGACATCGGATTCAGCATCAATATCATCAAAATTAATTGCCTTTTTGGTTTGGTTCAAAAGATTTTGGCTGATTAACTAATTACGGAGTAGTTTAGTTCGTTGGTTTCGTTCAACTAACCTAACCTAACTTAGTTAGTTACTTAGAGTAAAACTTAGCTTAGTCATCGTTGTTGAGGCTTGGCGCTATTTCAATACCACGTGATTATTGGGGCTGAACGACTACCCCCACTTGCGCTCACCGAACGGCTCAAGCGCCAAATGCATAGGCTTTTCAAAGTTGCCCGAGGGTGGCAAAACTTCCGTTTGGTTCAGAAGTTTCCAACGGTTTCTACCAGGGAAACTGTTGTGGAGAACCAGGCAACCGTTCCTTAAATGTACATACGCTTGACACGTATATCTCTCACACAACATGCACACAACGGCCACGCACACACACACACAACATGCACACAACGGCCACGCACACACACACACACACACACACAAACCCCCCCCCCCCCCCCCCCCATCCCCACATCTCTCTCTGTGGTCATTTTCATCGCATTTCTCAGAGCATATTCCTTTCCTAACCCTAATCCTAATCCACCCCCTAACCCTGGTGTTGAGGGCGGCGAGGGTGAATGTGAAATAGAGATGTAACGAGTGCTTATTTTTAGATTGGGGGGGTTGAACCAGAGTTGATAAAAAAGTGTCCCACACAGAATTAATTATAAATGGTTTGTTTGTTAGTAGCCACCGTGTCCGGGACAGCCCATGGTTCCTACTGAAATACCCTGATAGTCGTCCCCGCCCTTAGTTCACTCTGACTCAACGTTTGAGCAAGCCAGCTTGGGCTTAATTCGTGTTCCTTGCAGCTAGATGCACACTCTCTTATTCTCCTGCTACCTGTAACCAACCTCCAGCTCTACTGCGCTCTAGACGCCTCTCTCTACACCTGAGCATTTAGTTGCATATCTACCCCTAGAATTAAAACACCACACCTCTTAACCTAAGAGAAAAAAGATTCCCGTTGACTTTCATTTCGTTTCCCCCCTACCCTGCATCACAATGCCTTATCTCGAGAACGGAATCTCAACCCCGCCCTTGGACGCGTTCCATAAACTGGTAGATGACCTCAGTGCGGCCCTGGGAACAAGTTCGGGACTGGATTCCGACGACGTCGATCCGCTCGACATCCAGAAGCTGATGGAAGGATACACCTCCAACGAGCGAGAGTGGGAGCGCTACGCCTTTGCTGATGCTAGCAGAGCATACACGCGGAACCTTGTCGACGAAGGAAACGGCAAAAGCAATCTGGTGAGTGACAGGCCCCTGACAGCCGCCGATAAAAAGGCCTTCGATTGGCTCGCAATCGCTCTCATTCGACCGCAGCTAACGGCTAGGAAAACAAACTTAGCTGATTCTTGTCTGGAGCCCTGGGAAGGCAAGCGCTATCCACGACCATGCCAATGCGCATTGCGTGATGAAGGCGAGTTCTGATTGGCTGCCCTATGTCCACTTGGGAAAATGGCGACATTTCCCACCACTGCTTCAAAAGCCATCCCACTGACCCCTTCCCCCTCTGCGGAGGCGGCTATGCCCTATAGATCCTCAAAGGCTCCCTGCGCGAGACCCAGTACGCCTGGCCAGAGGAGGATAAGCTCCGCAAGGGCGAGCCGTCGCCCTTGACGGTTACCAAGGAGACCCTCTTCTGGGAAAACGAGGTTACCTACATGTCCGACAAGGTGAGGATCTGAGAACCCACGAGACGGACGCTTCTTTCTCTCTCTCTTCATCTTGTGTCTGTCCTTACTACTCTGACGGCTGACACTTGTTTCCTTCAAAGCTTGGCCTGCATAAGATCTCCAATCCTGATCCAGAAAATTTTGCCATTTCACTGCATCGTAAGTCCCTCCTGACAATCCATCTGTTGATCTGAACCCATCCCAAACAGGGAGGAAATTAAAAGAAAAAAAAAATAAAATAAAAAAAAATAAAAACCTGAAAACACCCCACACCTCTTGCTGGTCACACATGAGACATGAGACACATTGGTTAACTTGAGCAATCGCCCCTTGAAAATAGTCTACATTCCACCAAACGCAGCTCATTACGGATTTTCCCTTTTCGATGAGAAGACTGGCAAGTCACGACACATTAAGCAAGCAATGATATTTTCCGACAAGGGCCACAAACTGTAAAGAATAAAAAGCCAAGTCTGATAAAAATAAACAACAACACAGTTTTGGTCCAAAGAGATATATATATATATACAGGATAGGATACATGTGCGCGCGCCATGGCTCTTTGGAGTGAATATTTCTTTGTTCCCTGTGTTCTTTTCCCGGTGTTTTGAGTATTTTGTGGCAATTGGTTTGTTTTCATTTTCTCCACTCGTTCATTTTTCCTTGGGTTTTAAATATTTTTATTTTTGTTAATCCACCTGAAGGAAACCTCCTGCATCCGGCCTTCATTCAACAGAGACAAATGGAGCGAAGGAGGTGGCGGTAAGTTCTACGAACAACATTCCTACGACATAGTGTTAGATTCCTGTTAGCGCAGAGAGTAGATAGTCAGCGTTCATAATGTACTCCCATCTGACATATTAAAAATCATTCTGGATTCCGCGAAGTAGTTGTCTTTTGTTAGGGACTGGGAGGAGAGAGCTGGGTGCTGTACATACAGACCATCCCATCGCAACAAATTTGGCTTGGTCTGTCGCCCCGACCTAGTTTTAGTAAGCTTTTATAACAAAATACTACTACTTCAGTGTAGCAGCTTCAGTTCCACCGTCCTACATAGGTAGTAGCATGCACAATTGGCTGTAGTCATGTTTATGACCTGTCGTGCTTTGCTTCATGCATGAGCCGCCAGGAAGCGTCCTTTTCTGTGAAATGGGGTAATAGACACCAAGATTCTATACATTACGTCAAGACTTGTAAATAGTAGTGGATTTTTTATTGTTCAACTTGATCCTTTTTTTTTTTTTTTTTTTTTTTTTATAAATAGAAGAGAAATAAATAAGATCGGATGAACTTGCCCTTTTCAATTTGAATTCCTTTCTTGAGATCATATAGGTGAATGCTTCATAACATGGTGGCTCTCACAGTGTGACAGATTACAAAGAAATCTTCGTTGCATAGTCCTTATATTTTCTTGTTTTGTAAATAGTAGCAGATGGACCACTAAATCTCCCTTCTTCACATTCATCAAGGGCAGAGATTCAGGAAAAACGGACTAGGGGAGCAGGTCTGTCTACTCTGGCGCCCCCAAGCCAGCGTACGAATGAAGATATGAGATGTGTATTAACTTTGTACGTCCCCATCTGGAGTTGAACTAATTAGCTGTTGAGAGCAACACGCCACTATTGCTGGTGACCTCCCGTTATATTAATAAATACGACAATTAGGACAGTGGCACTTGGAGGAAGCAAGGAGGCCAGGATGAAGAACGAACGAATCCAACTTCCGACAAGCACATAACTTCCGGCTAACCGGTTTTCAGCTTGAGCGATTTTTGGGAGGTTTGGGGGGGGGTAACATCGGTCAGATGACACAGCGCAACGATCAATCAATGGGACCCGACCAACTTCTCCAGTTTGTGCGTTGGGCTTTTCCTTTTTTGGCGATCACTAAAAACGCTGCGTTCTTATTGGTTCGTTGTTGGATGAATCCAACGTGCGCTGTTACTGGGTAAACAAGAAAGTAGGTTCACGTGATTCCCCAGACCCGTAACCATAACTTCAACGGCCCGACCAGGAGGCCTTGCACTCTGATTGGTTCAAGAGAAGTTACGTTCACATGATCTACTAACCTTGAATTAAGAACTTGCAAACGGCTAGTATAAATAAATGCTCAATATCAGCAAAAGAAATAAGCAGGTCTTTTACACTCTAATTGGTTGAAGAAGATAAGTTACATTCACATAAGTTTGTCAAACTATAATCATAAGTACAATTGTTTGTCAAACTCTGCTACAAAAATAGACAAGTAGTTTTATTATAGCTTCATTTATAACTTTTTTTTTTTTTTCCAAAATAAAACAAAGCACTTTTTCAAAACTCAGTTATATTTTTTTGGAGGGAAATTTGATTTAAGAATTCACTCATTTGAAAGTTCTCATTGAAACTGATTTTTCTCTCAATTTCAATAAGATTTAGACGAGAATTAAAAGTGTGATTGGTGAACATGTGCATTTCTTTGAAAAGTGAACAATCATCAAGATTTTTCATTATCAACTCACAATGTTTGATTCAAATAGTGTAATTGAATAGAAGAGAGATTGAGTCTCAAAACAATAATCTCAATAATTATCAAAGAATTTCACTTGCTTATTATTGTAAAAATTCATATTTTATCTGCATGAAAACTCTATTGATTTTGATGTTCTTTTAGACTCAGAAAGTACATTCTCATATCACTCTCATCAAAGTTTATCTAAACACAGCGGGAAAGATAACTATCTATGAAAAGTTAAAAACATGATCTAAGATCTCTTAGAAGCATTTAATTTTCATAGACTACAAACTCAAAGTTAGAACTAGCTAAGTATAGCTGAAAATAAAGACAAGCTAAAGCTAAATACATATTTATAAAATATCTCAGAGAGTTGAGCTTTAATTAATTTTTAAATAAGTCTGATAGAACTCTATTAGAATTTAAAATCAAGCTTAACTGAATTATAAACTTGAATCTAATTAAACTCAGATAGAGAAAATATTCTAATAACATTTGTAAATTTTTTTCAAAATATTGATTTTTTTTCGGATTTTTTAAAAGAAAACTTCAAAAAATTATTTTTAAAATTATTTATTTAAATAATAAAAAATTACAGATAGAATAATAATTTATACTCTACAAGTGCTTGGAGACTGCTTCACAGTTATCTAAAAAGTATATATTTTTTAAATCAATTTCAACTTAAGTTTTCAAAATATATTATTATAAGAAAAACTTTGGAAGTAAAATATAAACATATACTTTTAAAATTAAAACTATTTAATGATATATTAATGAAAACAAGAAGACTCTGTGAAGCTTGCTTAATTATTATTCTTGATCAACTACAAGTGCTTATCAAGCAGGTGACAAGCAACTAGTAACTACTTAATTCCTCAGCATTCAAACTCAAAGTTAACATCACCCTTACCGCAATCAAACTCATCAAAATACATACAAACACCAGAATCTTTACAACAGTCTAAAAGCAGTTGATAAGTAGTTGTCAACTGGCCAGCAAGCCCTTTCCATTCACTCACCTTTCGCATTTGCACGGCCTTCGCACGGGAAACTCTTACCCATCTCCTTCAGCATTGCGCTCAATATCAGTGTAGTGATGCTTCACAACTGCTTGCCAATCATTTGTCAACCATTTGTAGTTACTCACGTATGCGCGGGGACAATCCTCAATCCGACAATACAGTTCACCAGTGTAGACAATGAGGGCACCATTGAGCTATTTGAAGCACTCATCAGTCAGCTGCCAAGCAGTTGCCAAATAGTTCCCAAGTTCTTACAGTTTGGGGGAGCGTGAGAGTGCCTTCGGCCATTCTTTTTTTTTTTTTTTTTTTCTAGTTCTTTTGGATATTACTCACATTCTTCTTAAGAGATTCCATTTTGAAGTGGAAACACGTAGGAATGGGCTTAACTAAGTGATAAAAAGAGGTTTCTTTAGAATAGTTTTGCCGGTGTAAGGACTAAGTGGTTTGGCAACAAATATGTCATGCATCTATGTAATACATAGATGCTAGGGGCAGTACATATTCATCACCGCTTTGAATGACGGATGATGGAGAAGCTGAGTATGTCAGGCCTATCCGCCTTCTTACGTAATCCGCACCGTATATAACTTCCGCGTAGCTAGCGATCGCTTCATAATCAATCAAGCAATCTATCCTTCACAGGTTATGAGACCCGTTTTGCGCAAATAACTGCCAATTCAGGGGAATTCTTGCCAAATATAGCGTATATTAATCGCTACTCGCTTCATTCAATATAATATTGTCTTATTTTATGTCAATTGATCGATTTGGCGCGCTCTTATATTATTTTTTTTCCGTGTTCAATCCGTTCGCTTAGCGGGTGAAAAAATCTGCAACTCGCTAATTTTTCAGCGACTGATCGCACAAGAACGTGCCAATCCGCTCAATCAAGCTTATAGGCAAGAATCTCGCCGAATAAGATTACTCCGTTATAAAGAAGATTAATACGACATGGCGGAACGTATGATGACTCGCTCGCGGTCGCGATCGAGCCAATCCAGCCAGTCTGACCGATCTGAAAATGACCAGGGGGGCCTGAGCTCACCGACCCCCCCAGGGGCATTCAAGAGTTCCAATATTGGACCCCCCGAAACGCCCAATCGGCAAGCCGGGCTGATTACAGCCCCTACCACGGTGAGGCCGGTCCGCCTACGTCGTGTCGAATATGCCGATCCGACTCCTTCAGAAGATGGGGTGGAGACGCCTGCGGTGACCCCTAACCTGCCGCCGGCAACTGACTCCGAAGAATTGCAACTGAGGAGATTGGATCTCGAACGTCAAAAGATTGATTTAGAACTTCAAAAAGAGAGGCGCAAAGAATTGCAGCTTCAACTTCAATTGGAGGGGCTCCGCGCTCAGAATGACAGGGCCGCGATGCCCGCAAATCCGCCGTCGGGTCGACCGTCAGCATGGGATCCGAACTTGAGGTCCCGAATGCAATATAACCTCTACGACCCAGATAGCCGCGTCGGCAAGGCGATCAGCCAGTTCAAACAGGACACTAAGTATGCCACCAAGCCGAACGCTCTGGTCGGATCTTCGAATTACCTCTCCTGGCATGCGAATATGAAGGCCAAGCTAATTGACGCTCAATGCTGGGTTATATTGGAGGACAAGCAAGTCAAAAGCCCTGATGGAGACCCCGAATGGGCTCCTTTTTGGGAGGCCAAAAATCGCTGGCTTTACGCATTCATTTCGAACGCGTTGGCAGCCAGCATTAGGCCCCGTTTTAATAAGTATGATGAGGGCAGGATCGCTTATTCCCTTTGGCACGCGGTTGAGGAGGAGTTCTCCATCCCGAGAACGCAGCTCTGCAGGGAAGCAGTCCTGGCATTTACATCAATGGGTGGTGTCCAAGTCACTGACGTACACACGTTTTTCGATAAGTTCAATGACGTTATTATGAAATTGGAAATACTCGATATTTTACTGCCAAATGACGTGGTATTCCACGTGTTCTATTCTGCACTTCCCAATATATGGCGAAACTACGTGCAAAAGAAAATCGAGGAGGTACAAGAGTCCAAATCGAAGTCTGTCGTGTTGGACGTTCATTCGATCATGGAGGAAATACGCTCTCGATTGAACCCCCCCAAAGAGGCAAAGAAAGGCGGCCCAGGCGGCTAATTCTTCGGCCAACGTGGCTCAGGCTGAAAATGCGGCTGCGGGTTCCAATAACAGCAGCAACGTCCAAAATAATTCAGCCCGTGGGGGCCGACCCGGGGGACGCGGAGGCTATCGAATGGGCGGACGTTCAAATTTCGACCTCCCAATCTGCCCGGAATGCGAGCATCGTCATGGCGGGCTCTGCTGGGCAGCCAATCCGGATAGCGCCCCCGAAGAATGGAGGACCGCCAACGCGGCGAGAATAGGAAAATATAATAATAAGAAGAGTAGTGGGGGCAAAAAGGCCCCGCCAACTGCAAATGGCAGCTCCGAGACGTTCCAAATGGCGAATCTAGTGCAGGTCATTGGGGTGCCTGCGTACTCTGCTGAACCAATCGCCAACCCGCTCACCATATGGGATAGCGGGGCCGGATGTCATATTGCGTGTGATCGATCGCGATTTTCCCAAATAACAGAGGTTAGTGGCCCTACGATTCAAGTGGCCAATAAGGCTACTTTGAAGGTTCAAGGGATCGGGGTCGCCTCCATCCCAGTCGGGGAAAGATTAATCGAATTCGACCACGTCTATTTGGTGCCAGGCTTATCCGCCAACCTCATATCCGCTGGCCTATTGGAGCGCCAGGGCTATATTCGCCGTGATCTGCAGGTGGACGCCGGAAATTACTTTGAGATAATAGCACCTACAGGAAACGACATCTTCTACGCGAATTTGAATTCCAATAATATATATGTTCTATCCGACACCCCCCCTATGTTCGGGGGTATTATGAATGATCTGGAGCTTGGACCACTGGCATACTTGGCGGTCCCGAAGCCCAGGGCGATTTCAACGGATTATGATCCGAACGCTGCATCACTGGGTCTTTTCAACCGCGATGACGTGGAGCAGCTAATTAACCCGAAGGATCCGGATACCGATACCTTCATTTTGTCCCCACCAACCCGACTACCCGCCATTATGCCGAAGCAGCTACCGATTGACGAGTGGCACCGGCGATTGGGCCATATTGGCGAGGAGAATCTAATTAAAATGTCGCGGGAGCCCCGTTTCGGAATCGCCATCATCGGCCCGAAGAAGCTCTCGTTCTGCGCCACGTGCGTTAAAGCCAAGCATAAACGTGCAAGTTATAAAAACGCCCCGCTACGCCGTGCCACCCGCAAAGGTCTTAAGATCTGGGTGGACCTATTTGGGGGTGGAGAAACGCTTGGTAATGAAGAAGATACACCATCTTATTCAGGTAAGAAGCTCGCGATGGTGATCACTGATGATGCCACACGAATGCGGTGGACCTTCCTATTGGAGCGCCGCAATGAGGCTCTAAAATATATACGGACCTTCAACCAATTTATGAAGAATCTGCTCAATCGCGGTGTTGCGATTATCCACTCTGACCGCGGCGAGTTGAATTCAAACGCCGCAGCCGCCTATATGATGAGTGAGGGTATTAAATGGGAACCAACCCCGCCCCACACTCCGCAGCAAGATGGTGTGTCCGAACGTTCTATTGGCCTGATTATCGAAAAAGCCCGAACGTTATTAATAGATTCCTCCTCCCCCCCCCAGATGTGGGGCGAGGCGGTAATTGCGGCGACCGAAATGCTTAACCTTATGCCAACGTCAGCCAAGCTCTATAACGGTGTAGAGGATCCGGATCCGAAGCCGGTTACTCCATATGAAGCTTGGCTCGGGGCCCTGCCCTCCGCACGCGGGATTCGCCGATGGGGGTGCAAGGCTTATTTAAAAATAGTGCCCAAGCCGAATATGAAGATGGCCTCGCGATCGCAGGAGCTTATATTTACGGGCTATGATGGCTTTACTAATTATAGATTGGTCGATCCTTCTAACGGTCGCCTTTACACGTCGAAAGACGTGATATTTCAAGAAGATCTCCATTTGGCGGATCCTCTGGCCCCGCCTGAGCGAGGTGCCAAGAACCTGCCTTCCGCCGCCCGCGTGGCCGCGGTTGCGATCCCCTCCACCCAACGCGATTTATCAACAGACGATTTCATGGTGGACGGGGAGTTTCTATCTGCCCCTCCGGTATTTCTACACCCTACAAATAATTGGTGGATAGACTATGAGATTACTGCGCGTATTCCGACATTTTTGGTGCGGAACACTACTGCCCTCCCAGGGTCCGCTTTAGAGACGGAGGATCCTCCAATGCCCACTGAGAATATTACTTCAGTGGGGGAGGCCTCAGTGGGGGATTTCACCGACAATTCGACTGACGTCCCCGCAGACCCCGAGATCGCCGGTTTGCCAGTTCCGAAGAACCTCACCCGGGCTCGGGCGTCTGCAGATTGGAAATATTACTTCCATGCCTGCGTTAAGGAGATTAACCGCCTCAAGCAGATTGGTGCATGGCGGCTAGTTGAAAGGACCCCAGATATGGCGATTCTACGTGGCCAATGGGTGTTCGACAAAAAGATTAATAATGCGGGTAGAATCGACCGATATAAGGCCCGCTGGGTAGTCTGCGGCAATTATCAAGAAAAGGGTGTCAACTATTCGAAGACATTCGCACCAGTTGTATCGGCCTCCACCTCCCGAGCACTTATGGCGATCTCGGTATCCCGAGGATGGCACGTTCTGCAGATCGACATGGTTACGGCATTCTTAAATGCCCGGCTTCCCGCCAATGAACGTATATATATGCACCAACCCGCCGGGTTCCGCGAGGGACGCGGCGATCTGGTATGCGAATTGATGCAGGGACTGTATGGCCTGAAGCAAGCAGCACTATTATGGTATGAGGAGCTGCGAAAAATGCTATTGGAAACAGGCTTCCGCGTCAGTCCTCATGACGCCGGTTTTTTCATAAATGACGTCCGCAAGGTCTATATAACCATCTATGTGGACGATGTTCGCCTATACGGCCCGAATATATCGGATATTGAATGGACAAAAGCCCAGATCGCCGCTAATTATGAGATCAAGGATGTGGGCGATTCGAACCGGTATTTGGGTATGAAGATTGATCGGGATGCCGAATCATTATCGCTGTCCCAGCCACTGTTCATAAAGAACCTGCTTGAGGAATTTTCAATGGATGACTGCCACCCAAAATCCTCCCCTATGGAGGAGAATGTTGATTTCATGAGCGATAACGAAGAACCAATTGCTTATACAGCGGAATTTACATTACGTTCCTACCAATCGGGGGTTGGCTCTCTGCAATATCTCGCTGCCAACACACGCCCCGATATAAGCTTCGCCGCTGGCTTCCTAGGGAGATTCAGCTCCCGCCCTACCTCGAAGAATTGGGCGGCATTCAAACGAATTCTTAGATATCTACAAGGCACTCCCGACATAGGTGTGTCCTACCGAAAAGACGCGGATATAGAACCTGTGGCGTTCGCTGATGCTGATTGGGCGGGCCGCGATCCGGGTTCCCGCTCCACCACCGGATATGTCATTTATATGGCAGGGGGTCCCGTTGCTTGGCGAAGCAGCAAGCAGACGGGCGTTTCGAAATCATCTACCGAGGCCGAATATATCGCATCCTCGGAGGCCGCCTATGAGCTTGTCTGCCTCCGGGAATTGCTGGAGGATGCCGGCTTCGTGCCGTCCCGGCTCAATAATCTCGATGATAATGACGGCCCGATCGAATCACCGGCCAATAAGCTAGCGTATACGATTCGGGCGGATAATAAATCGGCGATTGAACTGGCCAAGAGTGAGGCTATTCCGCGCCGATCTAAGCATATAGAGGTCCGCTTCCATACTCTTCGGGATCTCGTCCGCAAGAACGAGATCTCGATTGATTACGTCCCGTCCGCCGAGAACGCGGCAGACGGGCTGACCAAGCCGCTTGGGGCGACTAGATACGCCCTATGGCGGCGGACATTAGGAGGCGCGGTAAGCGGGCGGAAATGATTATATGGAGGAAATGACTGGTTTTTCAACGATATGGGTTTTCCAGTCAAATTATGTACCGATACCTAGCTACAGGCTATTTTTTGTATGTAATCTCGCGTACAGTTACATCGGTGAGTGGGGGTGTCAGGCCTATCCGCCTTCTTACGTAATCCGCACCGTATATAACTTCCGCGTAGCTAGCGATCGCTTCATAATCAATCAAGCAATCTATCCTTCACAGAGTAGCAGTAAGGCGTTCCCCCGGACGATAGCGAAGCACTGCCAGAATAATGGATATTATATGACCTCGCTCGGCTGTACTCACGTCAGCAAATTCGGGTTTGAACTTCCGTTCCTATATTTCCTTAGTATCAACTCTCATATTCTGATCATACCACTCGTCTTCTGGTTTCTCTTTTAAGCCTTTCCACTCCTTAGGCATCGGGCCAAGAGCAGTAACTATGGCATCAAGGCCCCGATCAAATATCGAATGTCGAAAATATAAGCTCATAAAGATACACATATAACCCCACATATCACCGGCAAAGCTGACTGGAAACTTATGCATTCTTTCAGGAGCACAGTATCCCCAGGTCGGCCGCCACTTATTCATGATCTGATTATTGGCATCTGTTGCAAAGCCAAAGTCACTGAGATATACTTTTGCTCTCAGCAAAGATTGAGGTATCTTTTCTTCATTGACAAGCTCTCCGGTTTTCCAAGCTCCGGGTCGTAGAGCTGCCTTTTCGGGTCGACCGAGATATTTGTATTTCGTAGCCGTGCTGTACTTGTCCAGAGGGACCATATCCCACAAAACATTCCCACCGCTCACGTCTGCACGGAGATGCATTAGCATGTAAACAGAGAAAGAGGATAGCAAATCAATGTTGTCCAACAAAAACACAAAGGAAATAAACTACTAAATATCAAAAAAAGAGTCGAGTAAGCTAAAGTTGACCTACCCCCATGAATAATTCCGCACCCGTGGAGAGACTCTAGGGCCTTTAACAGCTGCTTGGCAGCGGACATGCGAGCAGCCATCGACATTCTGTCTGTGTGAGGTGAGCTTAGACTGGGACCCCGCACGGGGAAGACAAGGACGCAATGATCGCGATCGCAATCACGACCTCGTAGAGAGAAAGTATTCTGATATAAAAGAAGATTTGAGGTATCGGTATCCTTAAGACGTCGAATAATTTCATTTTGTATGCGAAATTCATGATTCCATTCGCAGTCAGCAGTCATAATTTTTAGAAGCCACATCGACTTTCTTTTGAAGATCATGCTCTAGCCAGACTGTGGAAAAGGCCCCATGACCTAATTTATGCACGACACGATATCTCTTTTCAACAAATTCTCAGAGGCAGATGGGATAATACTCATGCTCATCCATGTTTTCGGAATAATGCTCAAGAATATCGTAATCATCGGGGTCTATAAAATCACCATAGGTAGGGACATAACTGGCCTCCGGCACAATGAGGTTCGAATGTTGACGATTGCATGCCTGAACGTATGTAGCTGCGAAGAAGCGCTGCTGTTATTGTGGGAGATGTGGCTGACGCAGAAGGTAAGTCCTAACTTCCCATCTGGCGTGCTGATTGATGAGGCTGATTATATGTTGTAGAAGAAGAGCCTTCAACAGCTGGCCAAGAAGCTCAGCCTGGACACGCAGGAGAAGGAGAAGACCCCAGTGTATGTGGAGGACATGTCTCCACTCCAGGACACTGCCCTGCGGACGCAGGAGAGGAGATTTTGGCTTGGGCTGCAGCGAATGCAGATCTGCCTCTAACAACCTACTGGGTCTCTTCACGCTAAACCGAAAGAGCGCCATCCTCAACCTACCATATAGGGACCTGAAAGTGTCACTCCAGCGGGATCCTAGCGGCGGGCCCCACCTCCCGACGGTGGAATTCCACTACAGATTCATGAAGAAGCACCTCGGCCTCACACTGATGTATGTACTCTCTGCTGTCATTCCCAGCAGATGTGCACGCTAACTGACAGCTGGCCAGGAACACACCTTCATCCTGCCTGAGATCATCTACGACCCATCTCTAATCCTCAGCCCACATAACTTTCTCTTTGGCATCCTGTTCTTCTTCGGTGCCTTCAAGGCCACCAACCTCATCTCGATGGAGCAGCTCAGGGGACTGACGATCGGGGGCGGCCGACAGCAGAAACCGATCCCGCTGAAGCCAGAGATGGCCGACCACTACGTCTTCTGCAAGGTGACGAAGGAGGGAGGTAAGGTCTGCATCTTCCCCAAGGAGAAGATGGATCCTTCGTCCGCCCATTCTGGACAATCGCCGAGATCCGTGGGTTTCTGCACCCCTGGTTCAACCATCGCTGCCCCGTACGGCGGGGGTCTGATCCTCAACAAGAGTGGTAAGAAGCTACCCTCATCTCTTCCTATCCGGATAGACCGCGTGGGAAGCAAAGGCACTGACAGGGAATGATGCAGGGTTGGTCGGCGATGCCGAGCAGAATCTGGTTCTGAAGCATGCCAGCATCCGCACGTTTCTGGACCACTATATTCCGCGCACGTTGGGCATCAACGTGCAGCCACTGATCAGCGGTCTGGAACCCAACGCTCCTCTGATGCGTGCGATCACGCGGATCGGCCGCTGGCTCGACAAACGGCGCCCACGGCATCTGACGGATGCGCAGAAGGCGACCGTGGAGCAGGATCCGGATCTGCAGGAAGCCATCCAGAAGAGGGATCGGGCCGAACAGCGTGCCGTGCAGACCAGCAGCCCCGAGGCAATCGAGAAACTCGAGAGACTAAAGGACGATGTGAAGAAGACAAGAAACCGTCTTCTCTACAGGTACAGGAAACAGGTCCGCGAGGAGTTTGACGACGAGCAAGCTGTAATCGACATTGAACGGCAGCTCTCCGGCATGGCGTTGGGCAATGAGGCAAAGGAGACGCTGGTGGAGGAACAGATGCTCCTGGCGCAGATCCATCTCCTCTCAAAGCTCCTGACGTGGCCGACATCCAGATCAGTGGAAGAGGAACTGCGGCGTCGGGACGCTGGGGTCGAAGCCCTCCGGATGTACTGCGGCGTCCTCGAGGGCGGGCCGCGCCGGGGAAGGAGACCCAAGGCCGCCCTCCACCCTCACCCCCGCTCCCGGCCACGCAAGCACTTGGCAACACTGATGACAGGAGCAAGATGCATGATGAGGTTTTGCCAGAGGGGTCGGGTGATGCTCTCTGCACCGCCGAGGAGCATATCCGCGATGCAGAGAAGCCTCGGGGGAGTTTTGAGTGTTATACGCCCCCCGGGTCGTCGGATCACCGGCGCATTCATCAATACTCACGGCTTGCGGACCTGGGCCGCCATTTCCGGGATGAGCACCTCCAGCATCTCAAGGACGGGGAGCCGGCGTGGTGCAGCTGGTGCCAGATCCAACTGGAACACAAGATGCATGTGTGTGCAGAGCCATGCGGAGCTGGTCCATGACCCGTGGGCTGTTGTATTCTGAGTAGTGTTTTGTGATACAGTTCACAAAGATGAAATTATGGGGCAGAATGTATAGGAGGCGCAATAACCAGGTGCACTTGTGCTTCATTGGATTGATCAACTGTAGGGTCCTCTTCCCACCAAGAACAATCCACCATGTAGTTACCCATCCGCTTCCCTGCCCCACTCTTCGCTTCTATAGAGATGGCCGTGATGTGTCTTGACAGCCGACCTGTCAATCTTTCTCTACTTATCTGTTTCTTTCCTCTTTATTGTTTCCCTTTCTTTTCATTCGTGAATGCCACTCTTCTCAGTGGTTCTAGCTAGTTATGAATACAGAAATGCTCTACAGTAGTTCCCCGAAATTGGTGTCAACCCCCCAAACTCTCTTGGGTTCTTTCTCAAACCCTAATGATAGGAAAAACTAAACCATAGCATCGCCGACCAACCTTCTTGGGTTCCAGCAGCGAGGTTTGGGAGGTCTGGTCGTTACGGCGTGATGATGACTGATAGCGTGATTGACAATTTCTCTGAACGTCCGTGAGACACCCTAACTCCTCATTCTTTAAGCCATCTGGCTACAACCATCCATACTGACTGCAAGGAGGCAGGTTACTCCAAGCTGCATCTTTCCTGCGGTTTTTAAACTGCCACATTGTGCTATTACAGTACAGTAACTATGTTTGGTCTTCTAAAATCAAGAATCTCCTCCTTCGGGCAGGTATTCGCGGATCAGGATGTTGGTATGGAAAAGTGAAAGAAAACCCTTGCTGTCTACAGAGCTACTCCTGCAGTAGCAATAACAACAAGTTCTGGTCTTCAGTTCTTGTCAATTTCCTAGGCTATAACTCAAAAACTTGATCAAATGTTTGATGTTCATCCAACCTCCTTTCCTCTATCTGCTGTATTTTTGCCCGAACAAAATCCTCCATCTGGTCCCGCTCGTCTTGTGTTAAACGTGAAAGCCGATCGCCAAGTGAGCTCAAAGGCCCAAAGTATTGTTCGTCGAGAAATGTCCAATAGATCTATCAAACATGAAGCTCTTCCTGGCTGCAAGACAAAACCAAAAGAGCCCATCTTTGATAGAGAGCGCCATCCTTTATGAAAGACGCTGTGATTCCTTTAGACTACCTTGGCGGATCTGTTCGTCTTCATGGACACGGAGCTCCTTAAGAAATAGTTCGAGGCGAGGGCGGTATCGATCCATGAAATTGTCCAGGTCCCAAGCCTCCGGGCTTTCAAATAGGAGCCACCATGGAGCACTGTATGTAAATTCAGCGGGGGCGACATATGTATACTCCCAGTCAATGACACCAGTGACCCTCAAATCAGACTCTGTGACAAGGACATTCGATGGGCGCAGATCATCGCAGTAGAGGTAGAATCGGCCATGCTGTACTAGGACCCGTTGTGCTATTTGCCGGAAAAGACAGCGTGCCACATATTTCTTCCGGCAGTCGTCCTCATCGGTGATGGCATCATTGCGTTGGTATTTGAGGTGCAGAAACTGTTGCTCCGCTAATTGCTGGAAGTACTTGGAACCAGGCAGCATATAGACTTTGCGACTTTTTCTCCGCCAAGTTATCCCAGTGCATCGTGAAGGAGTATTCCGTCGTCGAACGGGAACCTCCCCCGCCCGCGGGATTTGTCTGGCAGATGTTGGACCGAGGGGCATGGGTAAGCTGAATACAAAGAAGGTGAGTCTTGATAAAGAACCCCAGAAATAAGCGGGAGCTATTACCCCGTACTCAATGCGCAACAACTTATCCCAAGCCTGTAGCGCACCAGATACAACTTCTCGAGAAACCCCTTTTCGAAACATGGGTTGGGGCGAGCAAGCCATTTCTTGGTGCCAGGTGAGTTGCCGCTATGTTCCAGCCAATCCTACTTGACCGCTGTGTGACCAGCACCTGGTTCCGCTTCGCGCCCAAACAGAAGATTTCTTCCCCCGCCCGAAGTCAAACAAGAAACAATGCAGCTTGATAGTTACCCGTAGTTTTTGATTGGCCGACAGCGTAGGAATAACGCCAGCCAACACACCTGCAGGAGGTTGGCCGTGCTATACCGATTATAATTGAACCACACGGCAAGTTGCGCTCGCCGTATATCGCCCGTCTTAGGGAAATCATCAGGGCAGCCATGTCTCCAGGGAGAGAGCGGTGTCCCCAGGGGGAGAAAGTAGTGACGGTGCGCAAAAGGACTGCAATAACAATTGGCTCGCGCCCAAAGAACGGGCCAGGAAATCCACGGCACCTGCTTTGTCACCACAGCAGGAACTGAAATAAATCCGGAGCCATTTCTGTAGCGCGAGCTGTACTGGCATCTCATTGTTCTCCGGTCCCCCTCTTGCTCTCCAGATGCATAAATACCATACAATGGTGTCTATCAACTAGATGAAAGAGCTGTCCTGTAGCTCCCGTGTACTAATGGTACCCCAACGAGATGAAGAAATCAAACGTAGAAAGCGAAAGAGAACAAAGAGAACAAAGAACATTCAATTGTAAACAAATGAGCCTAGAGATCTACATTGATGCATGTGGCTACCTGAGGTTCGAGATTTAGGGAAATTAGATGGATGGTTGAAACGAGCTGGCATGGAAGCTTGGTACTAATCAAGACAGAGTGTCAAGAGCACTTTTCACTAAATCTGAATGGACAAACAGTTATCTCATTCTAACTTAGCCTTTAGTGTTGGTATTGGTTTTGTCTTTCTCTTTGCAGCTATCGGAGTGTTATTCAGGCGTTAGAGTGCACAAAGATACAGAGAGAGCAGATAGATGCAGAGTTTTATAATGCTCTGAGCTTAGAGATCTGAGCAAAGATGGATATCCCAGGCCTAGTTAACATAATCAATAAGCGAGTGAACCATATATAAGTGAGTGAACCACTTCTCATCCTCCATATAATGAGAAATGCTCTGCATCAAAAATGTCAACCACACAAAGAAATAAAGCCTCTACTCAGGAAGAAAGGCTTCTTTTAGCCATTCAAGCACTTAAAAATGATCAAATTTCAAGCATATGAGCTGCAGCAAAGCTATATAAAGTCTCTTATGCAACTTTAACTCATTGCATATATGATTGTATAGCATATGTTGATACACTCTCAAAGAATCAGAAACTTAGTCTTACAGAGGAAGAATCTCTTATTCAATGAATTCTGACCATGGATGAGCAAGATCAGCCTCTCTGAGTTGCAGCTGTATGAGAAATAGCTAATCTCCTTCTTGTTAGTCAAGAATTCAATCCCCCATTCATAGTAAGTGAATGCTGAATATGAAACTTTATCAAACATCATGATGAGCTGAAATTCAAGTTCTCATGCAAGTACAATCATCAGTAAGCTCTATGTTAGAATTCTGAGATTATCTGTGAGTGGATTAGACTCATATGAAATACTATTGTGAAGTATAGAATTCTGAAAGATGATATCTATAAAGTTTCAAATGAGTGTAATTGAGACTGTCAGAATGATGACTGAATCTGAAAGAGCTGAGAATTCCAAGCTTGTAACAGTCTGAAGATTGGAAATAAGTGACTGTTATTGCTGAAGTTAATGCAACTAACTGAGTTTTACATATGATGATTATTCTCAAAGAAAAAATGCATCAATTCTGCTGATATGAGACAGAAGAACTACCACACAACTGAGTGATTGAAGTCAGTGAGAATGACTACAATCAGCTGACCAGCTGAGCTTATACTGACTGAAATAGATGTTCAATAAGATGACTCTACTCTGTATGAAAAGCACATATTGACTGTTGATTCTAAACTGATACTGAAGCTATGTCTCAGCTGAATTTGATCAATTTTACACTGAGAATCAGATCATTGCTCTCTACATACTGCTACATTTCTCTTATCTTCTTCAGTCATTGAATGTTGACTGCTTTTCATCTCTGAAAACTGCATACAGACAGTAGATGAAAAATCAGATGTGACTTGAGATCAATTATATTGACAAGAAGAAGTTTCTGAGTCTCTATCTTGCAGCTCAGATGCAGGTTCTAACTGAAAGCAATATCAAAAACAGCTTTAGAGCTGCTGAGCTGATTTTGTACAATTCTAAGCAGATTCTCTCACAGCTTAATATCATAATGCATATCCCCATCTCTTCAGAGACCTCTCACAGCTTTCAGACCTTCTAGGTGACAATCACATCACATAATATATGTCAATTGAAGCAGCAAACTGAGAAAGTTAAAGAATATATCAAATATTATACACAGAGCTCACTCAGTTCAATCAATTGTGCTCTAAGTCAGCTGGTCAAGAGATGTCAAATGACAATACATAGTGCTACTATTCTAGTAGCTAAAAACAGAGAGTTAAGAACTCAAAATATCAAACAAAAGAGAAAGTGAGAAAGAGACTGTATATATATAGCTCAAGAAAGTGCTTTGAGAGTTGAAAAAAACTTGAATCACATACAAAAAAATCAATGAATGAGAGCAAAGAGTGATTGAGACTGCTGAGTTATAATCATAAAAATGTGCAGCACCACAGTGTAATATTTGTGAAATTATTGAGCATACTGTTTATACATGCTCTAAATGTATAGAAAATAATTTATAATATAATTTACTAGTTTTTCTTTATAGTTGAGACTTTGAAGACATTCTCATTATATAGAGAGTAGAAAGTGATTCACTCACTTATATAATTTGCTCATTTATTGATTATGTTAGTGTGATTTATATTATATAAGATAATAGCAATCAGAAATTGATTTATTATACTCATGTAGATATTCTAGAAAATGAAAGAGCAGATTTAGTAGCAAAAATTGAAACTAAAACTAAGAAAGTAACTCAAAGAACTATATTCTGTTAATATATTAAAAAAAAATCAAAGAATCATATCTTGATAAATGAATAAAAATCTAATAAAAAAAAAGTACTTATTATGCAAGATATAAAATAAAATTAAAATCAAAGTTTTCATTAATAAAATAATATAGAAAAAAAATTTCTTTTATAATATAATTAAAACTTAAATATAGCCACTTTAAATTATATATAAAAAGATTTAAAGACTTTTTAAACTTTGATAAATATTATTTCTATAATATAGTTGAAAATTTAAATTATATATTAATAAATTACTTATTGAACAATAAGATATAAAAGAAATTAAGATAAAAATACTTAATTAATTAATTAAATATAATCTTTTTTTAATACTAAATTAGAAAAAAGTTTTAAATTAAGTTTATAAAAAAAATAAAAATTATCTCTGAGATATAAACTTCAATCTCAAATGAAGTTGATATTTAATCTATATAAGTTGAATATTAAACTTAAAATATTATTTTATTTTTTAACTACTTTATATATTTAATATTATTTTTTTTAAGTTTTTTTATATTAATTTAAAATATTTTATTTTGAACTATTTTATTTTATTTTATATTAAGTTATTTTATTTAAATTGATAAAAAAATTAAATAAAAATTAAAATAATATAACTTTATCTTTTTATCAGAAATTTATTAAATATTATATTATTTTAAAATAGAAATTTATAACTATATAATT